CTTCAAGATACGAAACATAGATGTTTTACTTCTACATAATATCAATTACCTTTTGTCTCGGTTTCGTTTGTCCCAGTTGGCTCATGATGCTGAATCTGAGGACGATCAAATTCAATATGAGTTCTATTTATTCATTGAATTCATAATCATTGTCATGTTAAACCTTGCTTTTCTATATTTAAAGCCCCTCAACTTCAGTATATACCTTGTCTTTAAAAAAGCGTTTCGGAAATGACACTGTAATCTCAATTCTGTCTTTAACTCTGAAATAAACTTTGATTGTTAACGTTTCTGTTAAACGGTAATGCTAATTAGAAAAATAAAAAGAATAAAACGAAGTACCTTGTCTGATCATGCAATCGAGATATTGTGTCTTTCAAATCGACAAATAACCTAATCTGTTTTCTGTTAATACTTTGTAGTCATTTGGTACTCAGCCCTGTATTGGAAATGTGTAGGTGGCCTATTATTGTATCTTACTTCATTGTAAAGTCAAAGTCATTACAAGGTGACTGAGATGCAATTATTTTTCTATTTCTTTTGTCCAATCTTACCACATCTTTCTTATTCTTCAGATTTTTGTAGCGTCCCTGGTACTTGCTCTGTAAAGTACCCATGATGAATTCGATCAAAGATCACTTTGAATGGTTCAGAAAAGCCTATTTTCTCGGAGAGAAATTAGCAATAGTATCAGCTCTGACAGGTCAGAAATGAGAATGTTTGGAAAACGCAAGGGAACGCGCAGCACCAGTTTCTGTGGCAGCATTTGATGACGTAACAATCAAGCGCTTACACCCCAGCGCGTCGCGCAGTCTTTTGATTGTTAACGAATAGCACGTGACACGCATGATGATGACCTCAAAGAACTTTTTTTGAAATATTATTTTCTCATTTGTATTCCTTCTTCCACTCAACTATTTCCATTTTATTACAATTTAGAGCATTAAAAACCCTTAAAGAAAAGTTCATATGGAAAAGACGGCGAAAACCAATTCAATGTGTAAATTGTGCAACAGTTAATGACTTTAATAAATTACACTTGTAAAACAAAAAATTTATCTTTGATTAAGATTATACTTTTTTGTGTGGATATTTTAAATAGTTAATATCAATTCTAAGTTGTAAATAATTATTATTATTACCCGTATCAGACATCTGAGCTGGTCATTTACAAAACCGTATTGCCCTAGTTTTCACTAGCAGTGGGAACGAAGGGGTATATTCTTTGTATTTTCCTTGGTCTCCCTGCGCGTATTGACTTTGCGTGTAGAGACGAGTGAAAATATACCTTGGTATTTTCCACGGTCTCGCATTTTCATTGCGCATCTATTAATATTATGCGTACGAGAACCTGCGCACTTTGCGCGCACTCTATTGTGACGTAATAATCACACCAAATACACACTGTTTGAGTGTATTGAAAATTTTGTCAAGCACTGGATGCACAGTGTTGGTTTGACAAAGTTTGTTCAGTTCTTGAGATTGTCATGGTGGATGTCTGTATTTGCTCTAGATGTCTGATTTGGATAACAATAAAAATATTGACTGGCTTTACTTTCGGGGGATATCAGAAATATTGACCGCGCTAAGACCATATTGCCCTCGTCTTTCGACTCGGGGCAATATGATCTGAGCTTGGTCAATATTTCTGATATACCCCTCAAGGCCAGTCAATATTATATAAATGTTAGATAAATATCATGTACATACAATGTTTTTATTGGACTGACCTCGATGTTATTTTGTTAGTTCCTTTTACCAAAATTATGTCTGTGTGTATTTGTTGCAAATCAAAAATCCAACTCAAATCAAATCAAGTTAAAAACACATTTACTGCTGTTTTGCTTTTGCATTTTGCTTATGTTCGTGTGAAAATCATAAAATATAAACAGTTTTGTTATGATGACAAGCAATATGTTTTATCCAACGCCGTAATTGTTATTTTTCCCCTTTATTCAAGTCGGTTTTTGATAGATGGTATTTAAAGTTTTACTCGTTCAATTTATATATAAATATATATATATACTGTAGGCCTAAATACATCGTTCTTTCTTCTTTTTAGGTCCTTACAGTTTTAAAGAAGATAAAATATGTGTATCCTCCTATCCTAGGATATTACAGTTTGTCTGCCCAATTCGGTCTGAAATTCTGACGGATAGAACCTAGATTTATATAAACGATGGCAGAGGAAGAGAAAGAGGGGAAACAAAATGGTGAAGAGAGAAAGGGGGATAGAGAGAGAAAGAGAGAGGGAGGGTGAGAGATATGGGGAGGGGAGAGAGGTAGAGAGAGAGGGGGAGAGAGGAGGTTGTTCTAATAAAGAAGAGGAAAAACAAGAAGAGAGAGAGAGAGGGAGAGAGAGAGATGGTTTACAGGAGGGGAAAGAGAGAGAGAGAGAGAGAGAGAGAGAGAGAGACGGTTTACAGGAGTGAAAGAAAGAGAGATGAGTAAACGAGAAACACGAGAAAGGCAGAGTATGAATTTAAGCTAACGGATGTGTGTGTATATATATTTTATATTGGTATATTTTTGTCTGTAGCTCTACTTGTCTCCTCACCGTTTATATAAATGAATTGATTAATTAAGTAAGTAATTAGTTAATTTTAAAAGAGGGACGAAGAACAATCGCTCGGTTTTCTTTAAGCCTTGCAAGCTAGGCTCTGTACGTTATCACTCTTCTGGCATTCAACATAAAGCGCTACTATATATTTTGTTATACTGCTCGAATTGGCAATGCATGTCGCCATCTCATAATACTTTCATGACTTGTTAAGCTGTAAACAAATTGACAATGGTACTTTTCGTCGTGCCAGCCCTCGAATCGGTAGCACCGTTACTTGTAAAGTAGCTGTCAACACACAAGGAAAATCACAAGACAACGTAATCCTCGAGAGGGTGGATTCTACTGCTTCGGATGTATGTCTCTATCGCATTTCTTGTAATTTGTAATGTTTGTTTTCGTAAGTGCTCTGTATCTGCTTCATGAAAAGGCGCTATAAATAGTTTTGTTGTATTGTTATCATTATGATGCAAAGAAGACCTAAATATCACCTTCCAAGTGCAAAGGAAACCGGACACCTGAAGAAAGCAGTTTTTGAGAGGAGAAAATAACACTAATCACCAATTATCGTTAGGATTTGGTAATATTGCGCTTATTAGACTGTGTTCACTTACAATTTCATGCGGAAGGTAGCAGACGACAAGCGTTCTTAACATTGTTTCAAATTGACAATGCAAAAACTTTGTGCATTTTCAATTTTGAACAATGTAAAAGTTACAAGCTTGTAGTTAGGAAAGTATTTGCGATAGGACTCGATAGAACCGCCGTTTTTGTACTCTCTCCGTCTCTTGTAACTTTCGATTGCTCTTCGGCTGTGTCAATACGACGTCTATACGACGAGCAAATATCAAACACTTTAATATGCATTTTGTCACGTAACTGCATTTTATGTTCAACACATTAATGTTTAAATGTTTCACAACAATGTGAGAACAGTCAGAACAGATTTCTCTGATGCTCTCTCTATCTCTCTCTCTCTCTCTCTTATCTAACTCTTCCTTTTACCTCTTAAAGCCCCACTGTCCGACTTATAGCTACTTGCTCCCTCTATATAGAAAACTTCCCCAATCGGTGCCTGTTGGTCTCCCATAATCCTCTTTTTCTTATGTTAGTTGAGAGCTGAGTTAATGAGAAAGCCACCTGTCAGTGACCTCGCTGTGTGGTATAATCCCTTCCGGCCCAGTAGTATTGACGGTCTTTAATTTCTCTTCCTTCTTTTTTCTGTAATTCATGTATTTTTCTTTGTAATCGATATCATTTTGTGTCTCTTCATTTAACTAATTCTTATTCTATTTTCATCGATGAGATAGTGCTAATCTATGAACATTTTCTTGCAGGCCCGAATAATCTGACATACAAATAATCAATCTAGATTTCACCCAAATTAAATCGAATATAATCATTTGTATGCGATTTGCTCAGTACATTTCATTGTGTCTTAATTACCTCTATATGATTTAAGGAACTTTTTGAGAGAAGAAAAAACAACACCAATCACCAATTATTATTAGGCTTTAGAAATATTGCGCAGATTAGACAAGTTCATAACAAAATGTCATGCAGATATTTAAGGTAGCAGAAGACAAGAGTTCGTTACCACTGTTGAAAATCGACAATGAGCTCTAATTGCACAGACGAGAAAACAAAAGATACATGCTTGTAGTTAGGAAAGTATTTGCGATAGGACTCAATAGAACCTCCGTTTTGTACTCTCTCCGTCTGTTGTATAACTTTCGATTGCACTTTTGATTAGACTCTCGGCTGTATCAATATACGGCGACAATACGACAAGCAAAATATTTCAAACACTTTAAATTCCTTTTTGTCACCATTTTATGTTCAACACATGAATGTTTAGATGTTTATGAACAATGTGCGAACAATCTGAAAACATCCCTAGTGCTCTCTCTCTCTCCCTCGCTCTCCCCCCCCCCCCCTCTCTCTCTCTCTCTCTTACCTAACTATTCCTTTTACCTCTTTCTCTCACTTCTTTTGTCTATAACCCCACCAACCTCCCTCTCTGCCTTACTTGTTTTCCAATCTACCGTATTTTCACCGGGCAACAGGGTATTTTCTCCCCTTTTCCCTTTTCTATTACCCCACCCCTACCCACTTTTTCTCTCTCCCTCCCCCTCAAGCTCCCCCTCTCTCTACCTCCCTCTGTCTTTATCTATCCCTCTCTCTCTCCCTCCCTCCCTTCCCCTTTCTCTTTCTCCTGATCTGAATCTTTTCATCGTCAAAATCCCGTCCTTGGCACTAACTCATTTTCTTCCACCCAATCAGCCCCCTACCTCTGTATCTCCTTTACACCATCGAGCCATCCCCTACCCTTAGATGGCTTCTATTTCTTCTCATACAAATCAGTGCCCCCTTGGACGAATAATCCCTCTAGCAACTTGTCTATTTACTCTTTCTTTTGCTCAATCGTACCAACTAGTTCCCTTTTCTTTCATCTCGCGAGTATTTACACAAGACATGTCGCTGGTTGTATATAGTAACCGCTCCAAATAGACGCCATTATCAAAAAACACGGGGACTAGCAGAAGATGGGTTGATTCATCTCGGCATCATGGCGCCCTAATTGGATTAACTGAGGAATATATTCTGCTAAGTCAACTAGAGAGAGATCTCTTCTCCATGTAGAAGTTCCTAACATGTCAGCAAGGTGGGTAGAAATATTATAACCATAAAAGTTTACTTAAATATTGATTTATGTATTTTAACAAAATCATCCTATAGGAAAAGCTGAGACCATCTCAAAGTAGCTAGGCATGCTAGGTCTGACGTCAAATTTGTAAGTTGGTATTATCGGTCTTCTGTCTTCAATCTTGAACGCGCTGACTCCCATTAAAATGATATCTTTTTTTTTTCTTCATTATTATCATTTCGGAATTTAACAAAAAGTAAGATGTGTCTCTTTCTCTTCGTGAACAATTATAATCTTCTTTCTTCATTTTTCATAACTTATTTCTTCCAGTTTATGAGCTCTAGCTTTTATCGCACCACCTTAAATATTATGTGTATTTTCATCAACGCAAAGAAAACATTTCGTTTAACTAATATGTTACAAATCATTTTTCTTTTTTCATCGATGAGATATTTTTAATTTTATACATGAACATTTATTACAGGCCCTAATACTCTGACATATTTAATAATTAACCTAGATTTTACCCAAATTAAATAAAATAAGTTAATTTATATGCAATTTGCTGAGTTCACTTTATTGTGTATTTAAAATATTTACCTTTATATGATTCATGGAACAATATTACAAAAAAAAGTCGACCGATCTACTAGTTACAGTTATCGGGGTATAACTCACTTTACTCAGCAAAATTTACCGTCCTGCATTTTTTTTCTAGTTGAATTTCATGTCTTTTTACAGAAAATCCTAGCGATAATCAATTCAACAGCATCGTTCCTTACTGATGGGCCATGTAAACCCGATTGTGTAGTGAATAATTCATGCGGTTAATAAAACCACAAAATATGAAATAAAAAGTCAATATTGGTGATGACGAATGTAAAAGCGGTATCTTCGTTGTAGCAATTCTATTTATTGTTCATAGAATACATATACCTCATAAAATACGTTAAGATTATCTCCTTCTTTCTTTAAAAGCTTTTGAGCTTTTACTCTTGACGACATACAGTGCCAATTTTAATCTTTCAGACAGCTACACCAGATCTGCAAAAATCCAAATTGTCGTTCTTTGTTTTTAAAAACCCGAAAATTTAAGAATAATGAAAGTTTTCTCTTTGGTCTTATTCTGTCTTCCCCTTTCTTTCAATTATAATATGCCAAATTTTAAGACATAAAAAGTGTCACGGATATAGTATATACGTTTTAATTCTAGATTCATTCTAGATTCACTGTAAAATTCAAAATATTGTTCTAAATTCTAATGTTTTGGGGTAGGTTTTTTAGTCCCTCTGTTCAGATGATCAAGGTCAATTTGAAACGAATTATAATTGAACGAAATTAAAAGAGTAAGAGAAAAGGTGAGAAAAAGAAACCAGAGAGCAACAGAATATAGGCTAGAAGATAATTTTCATGATTAAACAAAACAAATAAGAAAAAAAATAGGACATGAGCCCCTGATGAAAAGGGTTAATGATGGGGGGGGGGGGAAGAAGAGAAATATCTGAAAACTATGAAAGGGCAGTCCAGCATCATTGCATCAGTGGCTTTACCATTTCACCGATTGCTTGTGAATTTGTCAAATTTTTACTCATCCGTTCGTCCAATGTTGTGCTTTTCTTCGAATGAGATTCTGATGGCTCGATAAAAAGTGACTGCTGTAGCTATAGAGGGGTAACATTCGTGTGGATTAAATTCACTAAGGAGGAGGCGAAAAAAGAAAGAAGGGAAAGGGAAAAGGGGAAAATGACAAAAAACGAAGATGCCAGGACCCCCCTAATCAGTATAGCCTTGTAAATATGCATTTTATTTTTCCGATTAAGAAATGTGCCCCCCCCCCGTCCACATATTGATGGACTCACGTTAGTCAGTATCTACGTACTAATCCAATTTTTCTCTTTCGTTCGTTTTGCGACGACGCAGTGAGTTCTCCGAGGGCTTTCGGCGATCCTCAAATCCGCGACGAGTCCTTCGGGAGGCCTGGAGCCCGACATTGGACCAACAGCCCTCCACCCAGAACACCTACAACGACAACGGCCGTGCGCCCCAGCAGTCGCCCCGTCACTCACCCCGGCGTTCGTTCCAGCACAACACCCGGGTCCACCCCATCAATGATAGGAGTAATTATGGAGCCCTCGAAGCAGGGAGCGGGGCAGGGGGAGGAGCAGGAGCCGGTGGTGGAGCTGGAGGGAGTACTGTGTTCATGATCGCTACCATAGCTGTTTTATCTACCCTCATTATCGTCGGTGCCGCACTAGCCGTTGTTTATTTCGCAACAGGTAAGTGAAAACACCCCTCTCCCCCCCCCCCCAATAAAACAAAAAATCCTTTTCTGTCTGTAGTGTGGTTTTAGAGAGTTTTTGCCAATATTTTTTATTCGACTATCACGATTTAAAATGAGCCAAAATATACTCTGAAAGTCACTTTAAGAAATAAAGTAAATTCAATGCTCCCCCAGGCCTTCCGGTCGCGTGACTATATGGCATTATTATAATAAACTGCCCTTCCATCCACACTTAAGCGGTACTTAGATTGCTTGGAGTCTCTCAACTTCTTTCTTCTTTTTGTTGTTGTTGTATTTCTCTGAATAAAACATTTATTCACGAATCAACTCCTGGTATTTTTTTTCAAAAATGAAATCTAAACGTTACTTTAGCATGTAACTAAATTTGGTTGTGTGGATTGTTTTAATAAAGGAACTATCATTTGCAAGATTTGTTAAACATTATTATTTCTCCTACACTGTCCACAGACAACTAACATTCACTTGTAGGTTAATGAAAGTTTTTGTTTTGTTTTGTTTTTGGCGGGGAGTATGCAACATTGCACCATGTTGGATGCTGACAATTTTGTTATCCTAAAGTTTGATCACCTTACTGTCTTGTTGTTAAGTTTCAGTTATATACGTGTTGCAGTCTAGTGTACCACAATATAGGGGGTTCGAATTTTTCCAGCAGCTTTAACGTCCCTTGACAAGACATTGATCTACAGTTGCCACACTCGACCCAGTTGTAATAAGTAGATACCTGATGGGAATTTATTCGTTGAATACTTTAGCGCCGTAGGGCAGCTAGCCTACAACCAGGCTAATACTGTCACTTTGTAGGCACCTTGGGCTTCAAGTGTCAAGATTTATTCTTTACATGCATGCACTGACGCTTTGTTTTCTGGAGCTACAGTAAGGGTCATATTCTGATATTCATAATATCTAAAATCCTTTGGGAGCGCACAGAGACATAATGTGATAGCGCCAGGCGCGTACACAGGGGGGGGGGGGGGTTTTGGGGGGTTAAACCCCCTCCTCTTTGGTATTTTTATGTGTATAAACCCCCCTAAAAAAAAAACTAAAAAAAAAAATTCCCCCCCCCCCGCTTATTCAGCGGCCGGTTGAGTCGTTGCAATTTTTTGGGAACCAAAAAAAAAGAAGAAAAAGAGTGTCCTCTTACCCCCCCCCCCCCCCCCCGCTTATTCAGCGGCTGGCTGAGTCGATGCGAAATTTTCGGCCCGATTTAAAAATGTTAACCCCCCCCCCCCTTGAAAAATTCCTGCGTACGCACCTGGATAGCGCCATACATAAACAGAATACTTTCATTATAAATAACTGCACATCTTGTTCCCTTTTGCGTCATTCAGCGTGTTGGGGCTGCAGCAACGCTGCAAGGACAAAAGGACAATTTCTGCGGCTTTAAAAAAGGTGTAATTTTTACTTTGCACCCAATAGGCGAAGATGTTTTCGATTCAGGTAGTTGTACATGTGTTGTATAATCACTTCTCCGCCGTTATATGGAAGCCATAATGTATAACCTAGGGGCAGATCTTTCAACAAAGGTGTTACCTTGATGTTTCTATAAGCCATGATGGAGTCGAATTGTTAAGTTAAGTAGTCAGTCCTCCGAATGTTTCGATTGTTTTTCTGTTATTCTTTTATTCACAGACATCCAATTTGGTAGCTCGTCATCCGAGGCCACCACTGCGGCATCGATAGCAACCACACCGACAACAGCTGTCATATCGACCAATGCTCCTACCACAATTGCAGTTGCCACTATCCAACATGCAAGCTCTGCAGCATCTACAATCACAAAGGCTACTGCAGCCTTCACGTCGACTGTACCTACCACGGCCGGAGCTGCTACCACACAACCTGGCAGCTCTGCAGCAACTTCCACATTGACTAATGCACTAACCACGGCCGGGATTGCTACCACACAGCATGGCAGCTCTGCAACAACTTCCACATTGACTAATGCACTAACTACGGCCGGAGTTGCTACTACACAATCTGCCAGCTCTGCGGCAACTTTCGCTACCAAGGCTGCAACCTCCATGTCAACTAATGCACCGACCACAACCACAGCTGCAAGTACCACCACACAGTCTGTCAGCGCCACAACGAATCCTTCCACCCAGGCTACAACAGTAGACATCACTACAACGCAAGAACCATCAACCACTGATACCGCCACGACTCCTTCCACCCAGACTCCAACGGTCGACATCACTACAACGCAAGAACTATCCACCACCGATACCGTCACCACTCCTTCCACCCGGACTCCAACAGTCGACATCACTACGACGCAAGAGCCATCAACCACCGATACCGCCACGACTCCTTCCACCCAGACTACAACAGTCGACATCACTACAACGCAAGAACCATCAACCACCGATACCGCCACGACCACAGCATCTTCTCCTGTTGCTACCACAAACGAAGAAGTCACTACGGAGGAGGAGGATGAGTTCACGTTTGTCATGACGACCGTTGATTCCTCTGGCTTGACCACGAGTGACTCTTCGGATCAGACCGGACCTACCGCAGATACTCACACAGGGGTGACGAATACAGAGGTAACGACCGAAGAGTTGACTGCCACCCCTGCAGATGCAGCAACGGTCGATTCCTTAGTAAAACACCATCACTGAAAGTGACCTTGTGACTTAACGCTGCCCAAGAGAGGTAATTGATGCTTGACGTAGGATTGCGTCAGCAACTGACCTCTGACGCACTATGTGAGGACGATATCGTAAGAAAAGGTGATTGGATAATGGACAGTCCAAACATTACTTTAAATTAACACTCCCGTAGGGGCTAATAATGAGCTTCACAGGTTTGATTAGCGCACGCAATGACGCAATCGTAATAACGCCTCGTGTGCAATGGACATACATAAGGTTATCTCACATACAAACAAGATTGGAAAACAAATGTACGAGCCTTACTTTGAATTATTCCTGGATGGGCTAATGACCTTTCACAGATTTGATAAGCGGTGTTGAAGGAATTTGAAATAGGACTAGATGCAGAATTTTAAAGGTGTAAATTGTAAATATGACTGGTTATGAAATTATTGATATCTAAATCACAATATCATCGTCGGTCTCGCAGCTGAAGACGAATAAACACGGTTACCAGTCGTTCGACTGGTATGACACCACTACCAACCACATCATACCGAGAGGGTGTTTCGCAAAGACTAAGATTGACTTTAAGTTAGACTTAACTATTACAGGCTGTTCATGCCACTGTTTGCTCTCACCATTTACTGGCATTGGTCTCTCAAGGGACGTACAAATCATAGTAAAAAATCTACAGAATTTACATATTTTGGGAATTCATTATTGAAAGAAAAATATATTATTGAAAGAAAAATATATTATTGAAAGATCATAATGGTGAGAGCAACAAGTGGCATGATCCGCCTGCCATAGTTAAGTCCAACTTAAAGTCAATCTTAGTCTTTGTGAAACATCCCCCAGGCATCCAAGTAAAATACAGCTGGCGTCGGACATTACACAAATCGTGACATAAAACTTGAGCTTTAGTGATGAAATTTCTAGACAACCAAGAAAAATGATAAAAAGACGAACCTTTTTTTTCTAAAAAAACGCGAATCGACTGAAATTTGCACATTGGACGATTAAAGAATGTCAAATATATTGAGATGTTAAGTTCCATGATTATTCTTTTAATAATCTTTCAAATATTCCTTGGATTTTTGTAAATAAAGCTTTACATTTTCGACAAATTGTACCTTAAATAACTCATTATCATAACTAAGTCTCTGGGTTACAAGAGTTGCTCCAGAAATTCAATTGCGATATACAATATTCTTTGGTATAAGACATATTTCATGGGCTTGATTTAAAAAATAAAATAAAGTCAATAGTCATAAACGTATTCCAAAGAAATTTTACATCCTTCAATATAACGATGTGCAAACTTCAGTCTGTAGATCAACTATAAAGGTATCAACAACCTAGAGTGTCAACATGTGACACTTTCTACTGCTGTAGTTTGAAAAAAGGTGTTTTATATGACGTAGCTTAAACGTAGTCAGTCTACATTCTGTCATAAAAAATTGTAAATTGTGCATGCGCGTGTTTTAGTTTGCTGTGAAACTCAACAAGAATATGGATTGAATGGAAAAGGTATTATAGATGATGTTGAGTACATATTTGTAAAAGTGTTGAGACCTATTGTATATCTATGTCTGGATATTTCTATATTTTAGGTAAGAAATCTTTCTATTTTTTTATACTGCATTTTCGGTTCATAGAGATTCCGTCCAGATCAATGACGTAGCTACAGGATACAGTGGCACAGGGGCAGCTTCCTCCCCTCCCCCCCCCCCCCCCCCATTCAATGATGCAAAACAGACAAACGAGAAAACAGAGAAAAGAGAAAAGAAAGGTGAAAGAGACAAGGAATGTGTCAAGGAGACAACATATAGTACCCCCCCCCTCCCCCATCTCGATGTACTTGTTAATTCGCATTTCATCCATCCAATTGGGATAACGCCACCCCTTCCCAAGCGTCATTGCCCCCTCTATGCCTGGACCCGGATTACGCCACTGGGCCCTGTTTCATGAAACTTGACATCAATAACAAGTTACAAGCTATTGTTATAAGCTACTGAAATCAAAGCATCTGATTGGCTGAGTGCAAATTTATCATAGAAATTAAGCATTTGTTGTAGATAAAAAGTTTTATGAAACGGGTCCCCGGTCCTGTCAAAGCTCGTTCAGATATGACGCGGTAAACCGCCGCAAAAAACAAAAAAACAAAAAAATGTGCGCAACAAGGGTCCTGCGCATGTTCACTGAGCTCTGTGTTATAAGATACATAAAGGTGCGACGCGTATCAGACTTTACGTCATCATAAAAACCGCCCTGGTTTTGCCGCGTCATTTCTGAACGACGCCTTTAAATTAGACTTTAAAATATTTCAGTACAATATGTTTTATCACAATACCAATACATTTTTCGTTTTTGTCTCAATGTACTTTAATAGTTGCTAGAGCCTTATTTCTTACATATAATTGTGTGCAATGTACCTATTTTGTTTGATGAATTAAAATATTTAACAAAACAAAAAATCCATATACTTAGTTATAGTTTTTATTGGCCTCTGTGTTCACAATGTTACTAATGGTGGTTGAACGACACTAATTGCTCCTGTGACAATTCCTCCGCCGTCGGTATCCTATGCTAACCAAATTAGAGCTTTAATACCGATCCAAACACAATACCTTAACCTAACCCTATCCATGAACTTAACTGAAAATCCGATTGCAATCCTACGCTTAACCCTATGCTATGTTAAATCTAAGATGCATGGGCCTACGTGCTATCAGAGTCTGTGATATGGTGTTATATATTGATGCCCTAAAAAAAATTGCGCTTCAAAATGATCATAAAGTGCCTCAAAAAACAAAAAATCTTTGAGTGACCGGTTTTACCAAACTCATTTTCACCAAAAAACTGTCGTGTTATAAAAAAACGTCAGGAAAACGAAAAATAGAATTATCAATTTCCAATCATAAATATCTTGATAATCAGATAGGCGATCGGCTTGTAAAAGTAATGGGTTTCCTGCCTGACCTAAAGGTTTATAATGTGATTGCAGCATGAGATAAATCCAGAATTTTGTTTCAGAATCTGACGCAATGTTTAATACCGAGTCACTTAGCACAGTTGTCGCCAGAGCAAAATGTCGGCAACATCTCAATTCGAAGAAGTCACATTTCGATCCAAGGAGTAAAAAGTTGCAAAATAAAGAAGATCTAGCTAGGCTATGTGCTCTATGTACGCAATGTTAAATTTCTGTTTATAAACCGACCTCTGAGCTCGGCCACCGCCCCCCCCCCCCACCACTTAGGGTCGGAATGACCGCATGCGTGTTTCCAAAATGTCCGGTAAAGGGGTACTTTTCGTGCGACAAAGTCCGGCCCGAGAATAATATTGTAAAAAAAAAAAGGGGAGGGGTGTATTTGACTTTTCTCTCTCATCTCTTTGATCTCCTGAGAAATTTTTCCGAATTTAGGGGGGTCTCCAAGGCAGGAGAAACCCGCGCAAAGCCCGTGAAAGGGGGGTTCGGAAATGTTGGCAGTCTTCAGATAGGGGGTGCTTTCAAAAAGAGGGAACAAGCATACGCGTACCCTAAATAACACTGAGTTGGGGGATCCCTGTGTCTTCTAATTTCTCCCTGTCTCTCTGTCTCTCTCTTTCTCTCTCCCTCTCTCTCTCTCTCTCTCTCTTTATCTCTCTTTCCCTAATCCTCTCTATCTCTATCAAACACACACACACAAGAACACACCCGTACACACATACGCACACCCTATCTCACTCTCTCTCTGTCTCTGTTTCTCTTTCGTTCTGTCTCTATTCCTCTCTCATATTTCTTTTATTAGGCCTAGATCATCATTTTAACTATCCTTTATTCAAACGCAATCGCGACCTCTAAACAATGTTTACTCGCCGGCCTGTACACAGCAGTGCGATTATCTACGCCCATGAGTGTGTATTTAAGAAAAAAAAAAAAGTAGATTATGATGAGATAGATTTCAGGGTGACATTATGCAAGCTATACCAGACTTTGGGTATACATTTTGTTACGGACTTACGTAATCCGGAAAGGGAAGGCTTGTCTGACCTTAACTGTACTTTGATTCATTTGCTTAGTTACGAGGGAGGCATGAAGACATCTGTCCCCACCCCCCATCTAACGAAAAGAGAGAGGGATAAAAATGAGAAAGAGAGAGAGAGAGGAAGAAGGGATACAGGGAGACAGCGTGAGAAAGGAGACCCCCATCCTATCTCCCTCCTCACTCGGTAGCTGTTTTGTTTCATATTGTATACCTCGAAAGACCGATTCCCCCCTCTGATTCCAGCCCACCTTAAATGCTGGACTCATGGTATGCCACTCCTTGCCATTTTATCACGGTTCATCAATTGGCTAGCCAACGCCTTATAATGATGAGTATATAATCTTGCCTTTTGAAACATTGCACATTAACTCGTCTTGCGGTTCCGATCGAATCTCCTAAAGGCCGATCTAGCTGGTAAGATTCATTCTACCTTTCTTTTCATTATTTACATGGCTTTCGTAATTTCTCAAATCAATTATCCGTTTTACTTGTTGCTGATGATTCTAATATCTGTTTTCCCCGTCGCAATCTGGCTCGTTTCATTTACCAAGGACTAGAACACGTCCTTTTTACCAATCATATTTTCTCTTTTACCGGATTGAAGCCGTTGAATCCCCCCCCCCCCCCCACCGATCTAACTCAACTGAATTATGTATTCCTTTTAACGCAAGCTAGTTAAAGGGAAAACTTCTTGTTAATCATACGTGATTTTTTTCTCGGCCTATTTATCGTGTCAATCTCAGCTCGGCCTATTCTTCTTATTTTGGAAACAACATTTTCTCGATTCTCTTTTTTTAATAGCACAACCTCTGTACGGTATATACTTTATGTTCAGATGGACCGATTTAATGTAATTGTTACTTCTTATGATCCAAGTCATGTTGTACATTTTTTATTTATTGTAAGATCTAAAAAAAAACATATTATCAACCTTTCCCTGTACATGTCATCATGTAACATTGCTTTATTTTGTGTTTCTAAATGATAGATGAAATGAAAATGAAATCTATCAATTAATTAATTAATTGATTGACTGATTGATTGATTTATCTATTTATTTATGTGTATATTCATATATTTATTCATGTATTCATTTATACAGTCAAACTTGCTTTAGTGACCACCTGTCTGCAAAAACCACATTCTTTGTTTCCTTTGAAAATGGATTCTCATTGAAATGTGTACTAAAGGAACCTGTTTACAAAGACCATCTGTCTACAGTTACTACTTTTTGTGTTTCCCTATGGTGGTCGCTATAGACAGGTTTGACTGTATATTTATTTACCTATTTACTTGCTTATAATGTTATTGTGTTACGTTTATCTCAAAACAAAGTTGAAAATTCGGGAGGGAGTCGGACAAGTTCGCCGACAATTTATTTTGTAATGGCTTGCTAGCCAGCATGCCTTTTAACTACCACTTTTTATCTTTCGTTTAAGTTCTGGAATATAGCCAGGATGCGTTTCGATGATATTCTTGGTGAGCTGGGCTCGTTCGGTCCCTATCAGAGACGCGTTTATCTGGTCGTATGTTTGATGGCAGCTTCCACCGCATTTCACTCCATGACACAGGTTTTTATAGCTGGGACTACAGATCATTGGTGTAAGGTAAGGAGAAGGGAGGGGAACTGCGAACAAACAAAAAATAATAACTTTAACAGGAAAAGGTATACGAAAAGGGGGAAAGATTTGACACGGAAAATAAGAAGGAGAAGAAGAGGTAATGGGAGGGGATGGAGAAGGAGGGGGAGGAGAACAAGAACAAGAACAAGTAGAAGTAGAAAAAGAAGTAGAAGAAAAAGAAAATGAAGAAGAACGGAATTTACAATTTTGTAACTTTTAGAGCTGGAATAAATGTTAAAATTGTCCTTCACTACATTACAGAGACATTTCCTATTCAGCCAATAAAAAGAGCCCATATCTGCAGTGATTACAAATTTCAATAATTTATAAATAAGTTCTTCTCTCTATATAAACTGATGACATCTGAAACATACCTTGTAAATATGATGGTTCATTTTATAGTTTTGTTGGGGGAGGGGAGGGGAGATTTCGTATTGAACTCAAAATTGTATTAAACTCAAGAATGAAAGATAAACATGTCGAATTAGGGCCTTTGTTGAATTCTTTTAAATGTAATCTTTAATGTGTCACATTCTCAAAAAACAATAATCAGGACAAATAATATGTTTTAAATACATAAACTAATACAAAACTCGGTAAGGGTATGAATAATTCAGTTCTTACTTCATGTGTGTGTGCGTTGTGTGTGTGCGTGTGTGTGCGTGTGTGTGTGCGTGTGTACGTGTCTGTGTGTGTATTTACGTATGTTACAAATATTACAATGAGCTTTATTTCGATAACGCATTCTATGTAAATTCACATATCTTAGTAAATGACTGATACATATTTAAAACTTTTTCTGTAAAGTGAAAACAATTCGAGTATCTGGATAATGGTCCGATCTGTTCACCCAGCCAAAACTATTTTGTTTTAAAGCCAGGTGATGGTGTGATGTTTTGAGAGGGAGGAACGTGTTGGGATCCGGTATGCATGCTTGCCTATCATTATGTCGGGCTGACGTTTAGTGTTCTTTCGAGTTGTCGGGAACGCCCTTTAGGAGTTTTTTTTACGGAGTGCATACAAAACGATCAGGTGTGTGAGCCTATTCATTCATGGGTGAGGCTTATTATGCAAATTATAGAACTTGGTAAATGATAGCATGATGGGTTCGGTTTGCACGAACAGTTTATTAGGTTGCCGAACTGGTGTCGTTTGGGGGAATTTGGTTTATTGGGATCGTGTTTTTATTTTTGATTAGAAGGTGCGTATTGTAATTAGGTACGCGGGCCGGTCAATTCACTGTAATGCATTTTTAGGAAAATCATTCAACTTAGTTATGACGAGCGGGTTCCGTAATACAATTCAAGGCATTTGTTAAGGGATAAAAGCTCTTTGTATTTTTTTTTTGTTTTGTTTAATTAGATTACGGTTATATAACAATACAACGTATTTCTCATCGACTTGTGCAAGAAGAAATGTTCATTGGTTTATTCTGTCATTGGTCTAGTTAAATTGACAGGGAAAGGGGGAGGCTCTTGCTCTCGGATGTTTACGTACACCGAAGAGCAGATTTTGGTTGTTTTGTGTGGGGGTGTTGTGTGTGTAGTGAATATGCTTGTGTGTATGAATGCGTTGGGTTGTGTGGTACGGGGTGGATTCTGCTTGCATTTTTTATATTATTCGACGATAAGTATGCATATATGTTTGGCTGCAGATAGTTTTTTCTATACATTTGCTCACGGTGGAAATAGATTGTGTGGAAGTTTCTTTGGAGTTTATCGATGTAAGGTTTTGGATACAATTACACATAAAATAACATGGCAGTGAAATTATCTTTCATGACATTAAATGTAAGAGGAATAAGAGATAGGTTAAAAAGAGTGAATATTTTTGAATGGTGCAAAACTAAAAAGAATAGTATAATTTTCTTACAAGAAACATATAGTACAGTAGAGATAGAAGAGCGGTGGAAACAAGATTGGGGAGGGCCAATGTTTTTTAGTCATGGGTCAAACCATAGTAGAGGGGTTCTTATTTTATTTTCTAATCATTTAGATTTTGAAGAAAAAAAAATTAAAGTAGATGAAGAGGGGAGATACATTATTTTTAAAGGTGAAATACAAAGGGTTAAAATGCTATTGGTTAATGTTTATTTTCCAACGAGAGATAAAGAAACTTTACAAATTGAATTTTTGAAGAAGTTAGATGAAAGTATTTTTGATCAGTGTGATCGGGACTATTTAGTTTTATTAGGAGGTGATTTCAATAGTATATTGGATGGAAAATTAGATTATGTGGGGTCAAAAACACCGGTGAAATCTCGGGTTATTGATTTGATTAAGGAATTTTTAAATAAATACGATTTAGAAGATATATGGAGGAAAAAAAATCCGAATGTAAAGCAATTTACTTTTCGACAAAATTGGCCGGTGGTGCAAAGCCGTTTAGATTATTGGTTTATACCTTGTAGTGTTGAAAAATTGGTGGGTACGTGTGAGATTTTGACATCTATTACGCCAGATCATTCTGGCGTTAGGCTAGAATTTAATGATCTTGTTGATAAGTTTGTTTTTGGGAAATCATATTGGAAATTTAACAGTAGTTTATGTATGGATAAAGATTTTGTTGAAGAGATGAATAAGGAAATACAGGAATTAAAAGCTGAATGGTCATTACAGATTTTGAATAAATTAGTATTTTGGGATTTTTTAAAGATGAAAATTAGAGAATTTATTATAACATACTCGCGGAAAAAGGCAAAAGCAAGGAGGGTTGAAATAGAACTGTTAGAGAAACAAATCAAGGATTTAGAAGGCGAACTGGTAGTGGGACCCACTAAATATATTGTTGATTGTATTGAGGAGAAAAGGGATAAACTAAATAAATTGTATGATTTTTCTCGACAGGGCATTAAAATAAGATCAAGAGCACCTTGGTTTGAAGATGGAGAAAACAATACGCAATATTTTGAACAGTTGTTAAAATCGAATAAAAGGAAAAGTGTAATTAGGGAGGTGTACAAAGAAAATGGGGAAACTACTAGAGATAAGGAGGAAATTTTAAAGGAAATTAAACTATTTTATAAAGATTTATATTCTTTAAGGGCTGATATAAATCAAAACGACCCTTTCTTTTTCAATGATATTTCAAAGTTAAATGAAGACAATAAGGAAATCTGTGAAGGTAAATTAACTAAAGATGAATGCTTGAAAGTTTTAAAAGAAATGAAATTGAATAAAACCCCGGGAAATGATGGGTTAACAGTTGAATTTTATTATACTTTTTGGCCAGCTTTGGGTGATTTGTTAGTAGAAGTATTGAATGAAACATACGAAAGGGGGGAATTAACGGCATCTCAAAAACAAGGGGTAATTACCTTAATTGAGAAGGAAGCGAAAGATACTCTCCATATAAAAAATTATCGACCCATCACGCTTTTGAATGTAGATTATAAAATTGTATCTAAAGTTCTAGCAAAAAGAATGAAAGAGGTTTTAAATGAAATAATTCATCATGATCAAGTTGGATATATAAAAGATAGAAATATTGGGGAAGCTGTACGATTGATAGATGACATGTTATTTTATTCTATGCATTATGGGGAACAAGGGAAAGGGTTTTTGTGTGCAGTGGATTTTGAGAAAGCTTTCGACTCTGTATCTCATAGATATTTATTTCAAATATTGAAATTGTTCGGTTTTGGAGATTCATTTTGCTCTTGGGTAAAATTATTGTATAAAGGGATAAGTAGTTGTGTTATGAACGGTGGTCACTCCACGGGGTATTTTGAAATAGAAAGGGGAGTAAGGCAAGGGGATCCATTATCGCCATATTTGTTTTTGGTTGCCATCGAAATTTTGGCGCATGCAGTAAGGAGGGACAACGGTATTAAAGGGATTACATTTGGAAAATCTGAAATTAGGCAAGTGTTATATGCAGATGATATGACAATATTTTTGAAGGATATTGATTCGGTTAGAAGGTTGCAATATATTTTTGAATCATTTGAAAAAATTAGTGGTCTTAAAGTGAATAAAACAAAGACACATTTTATGTGGATGGGTGAGGATGAGAACAAACCTGATGGGCCTTTATTTGGAAATTTGGTTAAGGAAATACATATTTTAGGGGTTAGTTATTCATTAGATCGAAGTTTAAAAGATGATTTGAATTATAAAGAAATTCTAAGTAAAATAAAAAAATTGCTTGTATGGTGGAAACAAAGAGATTTAACTATTATGGGTAAAATACATTTGCTAAAAACTTATGCGCTTTCAAAATTAAATTATATTTCATCTCTCGTTATTGTCCCTCATTGGGTATATAAAGAAGTTGCAAAAATTTCATTTGAATTCATATGGAGGGGGAAAGATAGAATTAAACGGGCAATAATGTATCAGGATTATGACTTTGGAGGATTAAGAATGATTAATTTTGAAATGTCCGTTAAAATACAGCGCATAATGTGGATAAAACGTCTTTTATATGGAGAGAAAAGTTTGGGATGGAAATTGTTTTTTGATCATTGCTTACAGTTTGTGGGTGGTAGATTTATTTTTTTATGTGATTATGATTTAAACAAGATTAAACTCGTTTTAGATATTCCACCATACTATATGGAAATGTTGCAAGCATGGCAAGAGACAAGTAATTTAAGATATTTGGAGGGTTATATTAATCCAATTATTTTTAATAATCAGAATATATGTATAAATGGAAAAAGTATATTTGATAGATACTTGTTTGAAAGAGGGATTGTTCAACTGAATCATTTGGTTGAGAAAGGTCATGTTAAGCCTGTTAAATATTTTATGAACCTCGGTATGAAAGGTAATAATTTGCTTATGATTATTGATATTTATGATGCGATACCCAGGTTATGGAAGGATGATTCAGGGTTAATAGAATTCCTCGAGGTTGATTTGATAAGCTTTAATACTTATTTCCATATTTCTAGTAAAAAAATACAGTTTGTGGATGTGGGTTCAAGAACAATCTATGATTATTTCATCAAAGCACTGCAGCGAACGTATGATTTGCAGGTAAGGGATGGGCAAAATGACTATGATTTTATAGATAAAGAATTAAAAGAAATATTTGTGAGACCAAGAATTACTATACTCATTAGAAAACAACGTGAATTTCAATTTAAATTATTGCATGGAGCCATATACACTAATGAGCATCTTCATAGATTTGGTTTTGTTGGTGATAATTTATGTTCGTTTTGTAAGCAGGAAATAGAAACATACAAACATTTATTTTTATCTTGTGGGAGCGTTCAAAGGTTATGGCAGGCTTTAATACAACTTTTTGAGTTAGATGAAATTAAAGATTTAGAATGGCGAGATATATTTGTTGGGTTGGTAGGTAGTTCATATAGAATAAAAATGTGTAATACTATCATTTTCATGGTGAAGTATGTTACATTTATGTCAAGATCGGGGGGGCGAGTACTAACTTTAGAAAAGATGAAAAAAAGCATTTTTAAGTATAGGGATGAGGAAAAGAAAATAGCAATTAAAATGGGAAAGCTAGGATCACATTTTTTAAAGTGGGAGCAGCTTAAGATTAATTAAGATTTGCTTTCTTCTCCACCGTGAGCTTGTTAAAAGCGTAACTCGATTTTGCGGCCTGGATAACTTATTTAGTATATTTTTCTTAAGTTGAGAATGTTGGCAGACATCCACTGAGTGAGTACTGTGTGTGTGTGTGGGGGGGGGGGGGGTGGGTGGGTGGGTGGGTGAGTATGTGTGTGAGTGGGTGAGTATGTTTGTGTGATAGAGGGTGAGTATGTCTGTGTGATGTAGGGGGCAGGGAGGGGGCAGGATTGTTTCAGTAAAATTATCTCCAGATTTGTTTTTTTTTGTAATATATAAGTAAATAACATTTACAATTGACATATTATGTTTAGGTACTTATACGTTTACTTTGTTGTTAAGTTATATTATACTGCAAATAAGTTTGTGTTTAATTATGTTTATGTAAAAGCATCAATATTGAACACGTTTATTTTATTCAATTGTATGTCATGGTTTGTGTTACACATCTGGAGAAATAAAACAAAATTGTTAAAAAAAATAAAAAAAGTATGTGCGTGTGTATGTTTAATAGACAGATTATTGGGACGCAAACTGCAGCGAGTGGAACTTGTCACCCACGGATTGCAAGGAGGCGAAGAAGAACGGCAGCATCCCAGTCAGTTACGGGGACGATAGTGAACTGGTCTACGATCAATGCTATATGTATAACATCACAGGTAAATTCAAGTTCAAATTAAAGTTTTATTTCCACATCTGATTTTAAAAAACACAAATACAATTTATATGCATATATACAATAACAAACGTTAAAATGAAACATCTTCAATTTAAATCCTAATGTATTGGGGGAAACAGAGGCCAAAGGCCTATCAAGGTTATTCCCAAAGATAATACAATTTACATAAAAAGTTTCTTAAATACACTAAAAACGAGATAGAAATACAGAGATTAAAATAACACAAAACATCAATATCAAGAATAACACTAGACAAATCCATTACATTTAAAAAAAAAACAGAAAAGGCATTCATGTAAAAATAATCCTAGTTATACATATTCATTAACAAGATATTTCTTTAAATAAGATCGATTGAACGATCCGTAATTGAAAAAACAAGTCAGAAAAAATCCTGGAACCAGCGGGATTTGAACCTGCCATCTACTGCTTGCCGGGCAGCGACTCTACCACCAGGCCATCACTGGTCCATGGCACAGTCACGATCAATCGATCTTATTTACTGGGTGTAAGCCACAAATATGTTAAAACTATTGAAATTTCGCCCAGGAAGCAATACATTTATAAAAAAGATATTTCTTAAGCTTTCTTTTGAAAATTGACACTGTTGGGCATTTGAAGTTGTTTGGTAAACACAAAATGGTTTTGAAAAAGCGGTTTCCTGTCTTAATTCGAAATGTCTGTAATATTGCTGTTTGCAAATGCCTCATATTGTTGAATACGTTTGCGATAATCATGATTGATTGATTTCGTTTATCAGCGTCAACGTGGAAAATATATAGAGGTCATGGTTTTTTTTATTATCCTTTTTAACTTATGAATATAAAGACCGTTCTTGATGTGAATTCACTTAACGTAAAATTGTGGAATACAAGCTGATTGATGCTTCCTTTCAATCAAAAAGATCTCCCCACTTATTGTCTATCATATTATTTTCATTTTTTCCTTTCATTCTGACATCAAGGCATAGAGTTTGATCCTTCCTATGACCCATCGATGAATGGAACCGCCAGGACTATCCCGTGCCAAGATGGTTGGGAACACGATAAGAGTCAGCTGAAGTCATCCATCATACAAGATGTCAGTTGTTCCTATTAAATGTTTGTAACATTCTATCCCTCTCATGAAAGCATTTTTCTATCCCCCTTAAATTCAAAATGTTGAAATGCTTACATAGTGCAGACATCTGTCGCCAAGAGTTGTGTGACAACTCTACTGATGGTAGAAAACATCATTGATTTCTGTTTTTTCTCCTCAGTGCCTTCTCTATCCCTTCTCAAAATATATCCTTCCAAAAAACAGGCCATCCTAGTACATTTTGAAACATTGACATTTGAGTCATTGTGTGTGTTGAAACAAATTGGAAAGTTAGCCGGCACTACATCACAGTGATATTACCCATTCAGCTAATTTGAAGAGCTCACACGTATAGTGATTACAACTTTCAAAAATTCATTCATTTATCTTTGGTGTTGTTCTTCGATATTGCTTAAACTTTCACAAGGCTCCTTCTTTTATTTTCTACCCCTCTCTTAAAGTAATTATCTATTGAGGTTTGGATTTCCATTTAATCCTGACCCTAAATCAAACATTGTCATTATTTTGCAGTGGGATCTAGTATGTGACAAGAAACACTTGCCCGACTACGCTCAATCTGTGTTTTACTCTGGCTATTTATTTGGATCTATTTCCTTTGGGGTCCTTGCAGACAAGTAAGTCCACAGTTGTCTTTTTATGTTTTCAATTTTAGTGTAGTTCATATCTAAATCCGTTCAGTCATGATGGTATTAAAATAGCTAGTGATACAGATCTTCATGCGAGACATGCTAGAAAATGCTGTGACTGATTGTTATCTAAGATAATGTTTTGTATAGCCTATGACTATCGGGCTTTTCTTCTTTTTACATGTGATATTTAACAGCAAAGAACGTGACTATACGTATTTTTGACTCCGTATTTTACAAGGCTACAACCAAAGAGGCCGATGTGTCAATATCGCTGTCCTTGAAGGTAAAGACCAGTATTGGAAACGCCCCAATTTCAAAAAATGAAATGGAAGCTTTTATTACCACTGACGTGAAAAAATATGTTTTGAATAATACACGATGATGAAAATTTTGCCGGGAAGCCGCCTACTAATTGATATATTTGGTAAATTAGTTTATCTATTGGGATGTGAGAGATAAACGCACGTGTCGCGCACGTGTGCGTAGTCCCATATAACTCTTCTGTGTACAGTGTTTGTAACTTTACGAAGACTGGGCCAAATTTCTTATCATTTTGATGATTCCAGAACCTTGCAGTACACACCAATACTTATATGCTAGATCAACCTTTTCTGATCGATTCCACAACGTTTCTTTCACAATGCAATCGCATGACCATAACTGGTCTTTATCTTTTATTCTGACAGTTTATCTGTAAGTTCGGTAAACAAACCTTGCCGTTATCGTGGATTGTCGGTATCATGTGATATCAGCTGTCTACTGAGAATGTCCCGATATTTCACTTGATCGTGTTCTTCCGATTTCTTGATATCGCTGAAAATGTCAAAACTAATGGTTCACATGTACCCTTTAAAATCTTACCAATCCATCATTAAATCGAGATGTGAAGTACACCCTCAGATAATATCAATGATTTTGATATCGTTACCTTTTAGTTTAAAACCCCTTCACTTCCCTTTTTATGCACCATTGTCCCCTTAGAATTGGACGATACCCTACTCTGTTCATTTGCCTTGGTATCCAGGCTGGTTTTGGTGTTCTCGTCGCTTTCTCACCCAATTTCTGGGTGTATAATGTCCTTAGATTCTTCCAAGCGGCTGGCAACAAATCTGTGGTACAAGTTGCCTTCATCATAGGTAACGTGCTATTTTCAAAGTGAAGCCACATTGTTGGGCTTGTAACGAACACTCGCGTGATCACGTTTTCACGTTTTGAGTACTTTTGTTGATACAAACTTTTTAATTTACGAGTTTCCGAAGAGTAGGGTTGCCATTTCGTTCTTTTACAGACCGGTAAATTACGAATACTCACGCGTTTGCGAGTACGAGCCGTGACTCTCCTCGTATTTTACCACTTGAAAAAGAAACAAAAGTGTTTGTTATTGAAACTAGTAATGACGTACATTAATTTTGTAAAGATATAATATATGCATATATATATATATATATTCTAAATTAACATATAATCTAGGTTATCGTCAGTTCCGGCCAGAGAAACTGTAGCCGGATCGACGACCCCCCCCCCCTTCTTAAAGGGGGGGGGGGTCTGGTCACAGTCTCGAAGGTTGATATTTCTTCACAATCGTTTAATGTTCTTTTGAAAATGAAAATAAAACTGAAACTGAAATTGAAACTGTAATACTTTGTAGATCAGAAAGTGTGTTCAACGAAAGCACTCAAAACATGATAATTAACGTTATTACTTGAGTGATCGTTACAAGCCATGTTGTTGTGTTATCATGTCTATTTATTTATTTATTTATTTCTAATCTTTTGACATGGTAGCCCATTCACATATGTGTCAAAATCGGAGGGTCAACTTCCGAAATAGACTCTTTACAGTGTAGCCCTATAACATGTATGGCGTTCAGCACGATTTAGATTCAAGAACAGTACAACTCCCGTGCGGAACCTTTTTTTTTTTCGGGGGGGGGGGGGTTAAAGTGCTCACATTATCAGGGAGAGGTTAAGGTCCCATTATGTAGATTCCAAAGATTCTTTTTTTTCGACTAATAAAGCTGTTTTGCTATCTAAAAAGGTTAAGAAAGGGATTTGTGGATGCCATTCGTCTATGATTGTGCCATCGGCTCATCTTACAGGTATTGAGTTCGTTACACCAAAATGGAGGACTGTGACCGGAATTACCATCCATATTTTCGTCGCCTTGGGCTATATGACTCTTGCCACCATTACATACTTTGTCCGCTACTGGAGGACTCTGCAATTGCTCATCTCTGGACCCCTGTTTCTATTTTTCCTGCTCATGCCGTAAGTTCTGCCGTGTGATCACGAATCGTAAAGTCTTGTACAGAATGCAGCGGTATAAACTGCGGCAGTCTTTTGTTGTTGTTTTTGTTGAAGTGATGACGTAAAGTGCGAGTGTAATACGCTTCAAAGTTTTGTATATCATAACGGTGCCAGGTAAAAATGTCAGAGGTAAAAATGTCAGAGGTAAAAATGTCAGAGGAAAAAATGTCAGAGGTAAAAATGTCAGAGGTAGAAATGTCAGAGGTAAAAATGTCAGAGGTAAAAATGTCAGAGGAAAAAATATCAGAGGTAAAAATGTCAGAGGAAAAAATGTCAGAGGAAAAAATATCAGAGGTAAAAATGTCAGAGGTAAAAATGTCAGAGGTAAAAATGTCAGAGGTAAAAATGTCAGAGGAAAAAATGTCAGAGGAAAAAATGTCAGAGGTAAAAATGTCAGAGGTACAAGCAAAACAAATGAGTGCCGTCATAATATCTCAGCACTTTTATCACTCAGAATGTCGAGACGTACAGCTACTGCATGGGCTAGTCTATTATATTCCTTTCTAAATGGATGTGTTGTATATCGTACATGTCCTGAGGATAATATAATGTGGAAAATAGATTTTGAAATTTATTTTTTTGTGGAAGCAATCAGAGAAGGTTAATCATCTAGCATAAACATGTAAGTATTGGTGTGTAGTGCAAGGTTTTGGAGTCATCAAAATGATACAAAATTTGGCCCAGTCTTGGTAAAGTAACAAGCACTGTACACAGAAAGATATTGATATGGGACTACACAAACATATGGCATACAAATCGGGCAGCCATACAAAGATGTTACTTGTTATATCTGGGATATGAAGTCATTTGTAATAGATTTTCAGGGAATGACTTTTTTCTTTGATGTTCTATCACACTTGCATTGAACGCTCACAAATATTTTTTTTTTACCTTTCCCCAGAACTCAACCTTCTCTTTAATTGATGTAACATGTGCGGCTTTCTGCTTTGTATCGGAGTAACAAAGCTGCTTATTGATTTTCTCCCAGACTATTTTATACCGCAATGGTAATCGACAATATTTTATTGCAACTCGCGCACTTCGGGAATGTGATGGTGCGGTTAGCATTGATAACATGGCTTTCTGCTTGTTTCAGAGTATCAAAATACCAAGCCCTCAAGAAAGTGGAATTGTCGGAAATATGCATTTATTGGAAATTACATATAATAGTAGACATTGCCACGCAGTTAAAATGTCCAACAATCTTCAAATATGAAGGAGAAGTAGGAGGGGGAAGGTTCATAGATATCTGATCCTATTTTGGGGGCTGTACTGACTTTTCTTTTTATTTAATGATTACACCATGGAGCGACAACTCAGCCTATAAAACATGGCCAAACTTCTCGATTTTAGAAATCTTTTTCCCCAGTTTGCTCAGTGTACCAGTACCATTTGCTTATACAAAAACATAATATACCGGTATATAAATATTGAATAAGGCAGACTAATGGGACATGGATGGTGTACTCCGACTTTCACAGCTTGCCAGCGGTCATCAGACAACTGATAGCATGCTTCAAAGTACAAGATTCCTCTACAAAGACTACAGCCTTGGTATACGCTCAAAATAAGACTTAACTAATACAATAAGACAGCGGTGAAATAACGACTGCAGAATATCCCTCGCTGTTCTTTTTCGATAAGCCTGATATATAACCGGGGTGTAAACATAACAAACTTGTCACATGCTTTTGTTTTTATTTTATACCTCTAACATTTTTACCTCTGACATTTTAAACTCTGACATTTTTACCTCTGACATTTTTTCCTCTGACATTTTTACCTCTGACATTTTTACCTCTGACATTTTTACCTCTGACATTTTTACCTCTGACATTTTACCTCTGACATTTTTACCTCTGACATTTTTTCCTCTGACATTTTTACCTCTGACATTTTTTCCTCTGACATTTTTACCTCTGACATTTTTACCTCTGACATTTTTACCTCTGAAATTTTAAACTCTGACATTTTTACCTCTGACATTTTTACCTCTGACATTTTTACCTCTGACATTTTTACCTCTGACATTTTTTCCACTGACATTTTTACACCGAGCCATTATAACTAAACACAGAGCAAAATTAAAACGTTACACCCGACCCTTCGGGAAGGGCTGGATTATTCATGAAAGTTTGTGTACCCCCACAACCCGACCCGACGCGAAAACCCAGTTGAACGAAGTGAGCCACTTTGGCTTATTTTAAATTAAATTTTGTTTTGTCGTATTTATTAGTTAATATTACAAAACATTGTTTATTTTGTTGTGTTTTACTTTGTCCGACTTTATGAAAATATTTGCTAAGAGTCCATGTGTGTCCATTCGAAAGTTTTAAATCGAAAAATATGTTTTCAGTATTACCAATCATCTAACGAAAACTATATATTCGTCAGTTTCATACCAGAATCGGCTCGTTGGCTCCTATCTCACGGTAATGGCGAGAAAGCTGAGAAGATTATTCGCAAAGTCGCTAAAGTCAATAAAAGAAAACTTCCTGATCCGCTCTTCACAGAAGACGAAATACAGAAACTGGTAGGTCTACAATAAACTGTGTATTTTGTTTTGTTTTTCTTTTCTTTTCTCTTCTCTTCTTTTATTTTCTTTTCTCTTTTTTTTTCAGTTTTAAAGTGAGACGCTGAAACATCCCACAATTATATAATTGTTTTGTTGTGGGCCGGGGGTAGTATGTTGCTCTCATTAAGTTGAATACAATTTTATTGCATGATATTGAAGGCCTTATAATATCGATTGACAGTTTAATGCCGATTTTATATTTCGGCATTTTCCCAAGACACACACACAAATATAGTTTTAAGAAATACAGTTCCACATTGTTTTTTGGGGGTATCACTCTTTTCTTGTTTTCAAGGAAGTTGTCAGTATGGTGCCGAAAGCAAGCATCTTCGATCTTTTCAGAACGCCCGTACTCCGCTGGAGAACCATCAACTTTATATATAACTGGTAAGGTATAATTTTATGCATGCTGATACAGTGAATTGATTTTAAAAGAGGTAATAATAATGAAAATAATAGGCATTTATATAGCGCCATCTAGATAATTCTATTCCGAGGCACATTTATTGACCTCTTATACTCGTAGAAAGTTGACTTTTGTAGAATTTTGTAAAATCATCTACAGAAACACTTTGAGAAAGGAACTAACAAAGATGGCCGACAAAAACTATGAATTGTTATAAATGTTTGGAATATATTACTCATGTGTGAGCTAAAGTCAGCCAATTAATGGCCATGCGGCCATGATGTGTGATACAGCAAGGTAGCTCTTCCATTTCTTGTATAACTAGTTCATAGAGTTATCCCCAAAACAGCCCAAGACGAAAATCTAATTGAACTAGGGTTAAAAGTTTAGTCAATTGTTATGGCATGTACAAATCGCATCTTGTTTCAAGATACGCAACTGTTTTTTTTTAAAATTACTTTCTCCGTTTATAGGATGGTGAATAACATTGTGTACTATGGCTTGACCTATAGTAGCGGTGACCTCGGGTTCAATGTCCACCTGAACTTCTTCCTGTCTGGAGCAGTCGAGATCGTCGGTTACGTCTTAGCCATCTTTACCATCGATTTCTTTGGTCGTCGTCCAAGTATCGCTACTTTCCTCATCATTGGTGGTTGTTCTTGCCTGATCAACATTGGTATACGTACGTATATTCATTCACTCAATTTTTGCTAAAAAAGAAGTAAATAAATGTAGCTTTCAGAAAAGGGAGTTTCTTACAGAAAAGTAGGTCTATATACATAGGGCACTATGGGCATCGCTCAAGGAAAGTGTGATAATGTGACACCTCTCCCAAGCTTTCATAATATTTCGTTTAATCATTAATTCCTTTAATTATGTATTTTCTTGAATCTCGAATCTTCAATTTCTTGCGCTCCAAAGAGTTTCGAATCGTAGAGAGCTATCAAGGGTGTGATAAAGCCGATAGTGGGTGTGTGGGTGTTTGTGTGTGTGGAGGATGGTGAGTGAGGGTGTTTGGTGTGGACGTGTGTGTGCGTGTGTATTTGTGTGTGTGTGGTGTGTAGGTAAGAGAAGCCTGATATTTTGTAGGTAAAAAAACCCGTGTGACAATATCAGTTCATTGATTGGGTGTATTGACCACCATACATTCTGGAACATCAAGAAAAGCATCAATACGGGGATCATTCAGTCTATAAATGTAGCCAGAACTCAACTAGTTTCTCTCTTTAATTTTAATCAGCAATTGGTACTTGGAACACAGTAGTTGCCCTGACAGGGAAATCGGCAATATCGGCTTCCTATACCATAGTCTACGTCTACTCTGCAGAGTGTTTCCCAACGCCAGTCAGGTAGGCATATTTATCAGACATACAACCGGCTTCACACGAGGCGTTATTCTTTACCTCCCAAATGAGGACATTCAGGCCTAATGCCTGTTGCATACCGGGTGCCATTTTTTCGTGACATGTACGACCCTTCCAGCAAAATTGAAACCCCAAGTGATTGTGTCATTTATAACATTTTTTATTTTAATTTAAAAAAATGGAGAAAAAGGTAATAAATGAAAATGTAAAGAAAAGGGGGGGGGACATGCAAAATGAAGTATTCAAACAGTGGGCTTGACTAGTGTATAGGTATCGAAGCATTTGAAATTACGCCCCTTGTGCAATGGGCATAAGAATGGTGGAGGTGTTGTGATAAAGTGGTTAATTCACTTGACTACAAATCAAATTAAGGGTCGAGGGTTCAAATTCTAGGCCGGCACTACCATCTTTTTGCAAGAAATTTGCCACGTTTGCAGGGCCCTCAGTAAAAAAAAAAGTTCTTCTATAGTGCATCACAGGACAGTAGGCCCTCGTAGTGCGCTTTACAATGTGCAATTTACACTAAGTTTTGTTTAATGTATTTTGGCTTAACAGGAGCATTGGTATCGGCATTTGTTCCATGATGGCTCGTGTGGGGACCATTGTCTCACCCATGATACTCATCCTGGGGGACTACTATTACCCCGCCCCTCTCATCATCTTCGGCACCACCGCCATCACGGCTGGTTTCCTCTCATTTCTCTTCCCCGAGACGCGCGGCATGAGACTTCCGGAAACCATCGAGGAAGGGGAGACTTTGGGAACGTAAGTTTCGGATCTTAAGGTGGCCTTCACTTCAAAATCCATACAAGACATGATCTTAGGCGTTACCTATTTATCTCTGGTCAGCAAGGTAGTATTGCTGTGATGATGTTGAATAGAATGTTTAGGACAACGACAGACTAGGGGGAATTAATAATCGTGTTTAATTTACATCCTCACTGTTTCCCAAACTCTCATGAAAACACTATAAATGTTTCAACAAGATCGCTATTTTCTTTAACAACCTGAGGCAATATCAAAAGCGTTGTGCTCCATCTTTAGAATATAAAATTATGGCTGAGCAATGGAATATTGCGCATGCCAAATATGATTTCTGACATGGTTGAATTGTACCCTTTAGTTGATTTCTTAATAGTCTTTGTGATCGTATTCATATTAACCGATTTCCTACTAGAACAGGGTTTTTCCTGTAATCAAGCGTTGAGGAATATGATAATTCATAATTCAATAGGTTAAATGCAAAATAAACGTATAAGAGTCTTTAATACCTCGTCTCTAATGACATTATAAGATACAAGATTTTTCTTTTCTTCCATTTTCATGCAACATTTTATTATTTCCATTCTTTAGGAAAGCAAAGGACGACAACAGTGCTGGACTTTGAACAGGAAGAAACAAAACGAAGATGATGATACGACCCGGAAAACATTTTTGACGTTAAAATGGGAAAACTGGACAGTATTTAAGAAATTTGAGCATAACTTTCAAATGCGTCGGTCCCTCGTCGAATCGTTAAAAACGTAAACATTATGCTTGCACTCAGCCCTTAAGACTGCACTAGGGTTTTGTGTTGATAATATAATTCAATAATGATTTGATATTATGAAAGTACTTTTTTTGTCTGAAGGAATTCAAATTTGAACTGTTCTCGAATTTCAGATACCTGTAATATATAGTAGAATGTTTATAGTTATGCATATGAATAAAGGAGAGATTTGTGTATAGCCCGCCCCCCCCCCCACCACTACAACATATTCGTTATACGTGAGAAACACGTGTTCAGTTGGGCGTTATTTTTTCTCCATTCTTCTTCTTTTTCTTCAGTTCCTTCGCTTCTTCTACTTTTTCATCTCCTTTTATTTTCTTTCTTCCGTTCTGGGCACTGACGGTACTGTGTCGTTAAAAGGGCCTAAACAAGGTATGGGAAGCCGAGACAAATTGCGGCTAATGGATGATGTCAGCAAACCTGAACAGTCATGTAAGAGTGGAATATTGGGATCATCAAAATCTTTTCTTTTTTTTATCAACTCCTTCTTTAACTTTTTTCTTTCTTCCAAATGAAAAAGAGCAGTATACCGCGTCATATGTGAATGTTAAATAAACAGTAAATTACGGTAAAATAACCTAAATCGATGGCGTCATCATTTGCGGCTGGTCATGGAGGGTTGGTGGGTGGGGCCCTCATCGTCGTAGTCTTCTTCTCATTTCCTTTCTTTAACGAAATGAATAGGCGGTTTTACCGCGTCAATAATTTTAGGCAGTAAATTACGGTAATAGATGACGTCATCACTCCTGGACGGTCATGCAGGATTCGTAGGTTGGGACCATGTACTTGATGTTGACGAACGCTTCTGCTCCTCCGTTTCTCTCGAGGACTTCCAGGGTCTCCTGGATCATGTCTCCGACGTTGAAGCCCTTCTGCTGACCGTACTCGATCCCATCACCAGAATTGACTGGAGAGAGACAGAGAGAGAGAGTGAGACAGACGGAGTGGGAGAAAGTGGAGTGGCAGAGGAAGGAGGAGAGGAACAGGAATAGGGAGAAGAGATTGCTAAGATCGAAGAGATATTTCTACTTCTACTTCTACGAAGATACTCAGCAGGATCCATAAGTCAGGATGTAGTGCTGAGGAATAAACTATATAGTTCTTGGTCTAGATGCTGGGTGGAAGCGCTCCCTTGAAGCCCTCCAGTGAAGTAGCGTCAAGGGTGATCTTCGAAAGTGCATTCCACGCAGTTACTGTCCGAGGGGAAAATGAGTTCTGGTAGAGTTGGGTGCGGAATGGGACAGCCAGCAACTTCTTTGAGTGATACTGTCGTGTGTTGCTGGCAATCATGGGTGCTGTGTAATGGTGTGCATTGATGGCTACTGTGTTGTTTTGGATCTTGTACATGAGGTGGAGGCTTGCAGCTGATATTGAAGTACACAGCGAGAGGGAGTAAAATGATAACTTTGCTCGATGAGATCTATCTCCCCTTTGAAAATAAGCACATACATGTACATCCTCTTTTTATATCGATTCTATAATTAAAACAATACCATTTAAGGTTTTGACTTTTTGATGTATCACTTGAACACGATGAGATAAATAAATAACGGGGGGTGCACGCTACGTTATATTTTGGTCAAAAAAAATTACGCGTATACATGCAGTAGTGAATAAAGATACTGATAGAGAGAGGGAAAGAAAAGAGATTATAATACAAAGAAAAATAGGGGAAAGAAGACATAAAGCTATGATATAGAGAGAAAGAATGAAAAAAACAATTATACCACCCAAAATAGAGAGAATTGTGGAAGAGAGCGAACGAAAAGAGGAATGAACGGGGAATTTTTTTAATACAGGCAGAGAGAGAGAGAGTGATTTTAAATATGTACCACAGAGTGAGGAAAGGTACTGTATGAGTGATAGTGACGACCATGAATAAACATTTCAGACTATTTTAAAGGAAACTGTAGTATGAAATTCTCGAAACTCACAGTTCATTCCGCGGAAAATGTTGAGAACGGGTAGGATTTGGCGGTAATACGGCACAAGAGCCTCGCCGACAAACTCGCCCGATACGGCCAATTTCTGGAGGGCCTTCAACGTGCTGCAGATAACTCGTCTGTCGCGAGTGTTGAAAGCATCTGAAAAGCAAAAAGAAAACCGAAGAAACAAATACAAATTAAAAAATCTAAATGATTGAACGTAAAACAAGCTGTTACTGACCAGGTAAGTGAGATCTGTTTACTTGATTATTATCTGGTGGTATATGTTGCAGGGGCCGTGATCCCGGGGAGACACCCCCCCCCCCCTCAATGTTTTGGGTGGGTATCATGGACTGAGGAATAACTGGTGGTAGTTTTTACATAACCACCATGCTATATTTATGAATACTGGATGCCCCTGCTACTCCAAACCCCACCCCACCCATTTTATGTTATATTAGACTATTATCATTATTATCATTATTATCATCATTATAATTTGGTTGTTTGGGCGTAGTTGGTATAGATAATACTGACCCTTGATAGGTATGATGAGCTGAGGAATGACTGGTAGTATCTTACGGCCTCCATGTTCCAATATGTCATTGATGCCTCGGCTGGCGAAGAAGTCAAACGGATGCTCAGTCTCACGGAGTCCCTCGAAGAACAGAGGAAGGTAGTGGTGATAATCCAACCTCTCGATTTCTTTCTATGGTTACAAAAAATCAGAACTGTCACCTTCGTCGTTGGATTTCACAAACAAGTAATTACTATTAAACTGTTGACATGCCATGAATATTTGCGAAAATGCATCATTGCTAAGTATTTGATCAATTTCTGGAGTTGGTTTTGCGGGAGATTTCATTTAATTTATTTATTTTACTCTGTTTTCAAAAACATCAAAAGTATTTAGACTCTATGTAGACTATACATGTTTGTTCATTATAAACATAAGATTAAAGGAAGTGGGAATCATGAAAGCCAAAATTGGCTTGATGAGAATGATCCCCAGATAGCAAAGAGAGCGAGAAAATTAGCAAAATATCAAAATTCCAAAGTAGACCCTAGGGCAGGCCTTCTCAACTAGTTAATTAGAAGTGCCAAAACAAAAATTTATTGAGGTTAAAGTGCCAACCTGTATGTTTGGTGACTGTGTTGCGAGGGAGCGTAGCGACCGAGCCGATACCGGGTGGTGTCCAGGGGGCGAAGCCCCCGGAAGCTAGTGGATTGTAGGGCTTTTTAAGGCCCAGATGTGGCATTTTTAACACCTTTTTATTCCATAAAACATCAATCATAATTTCATACAATCCCTGGCTAAAATCTACACAGGAACTTAATTTACATGTAGTTATTTTCGTGCAATAAACACGGAAAATGTCAAAATCAAGTGAAAATCAAACAAACAAAATGGCTTGCTTAGGGTCTACACGTTGTGCTCAAATTTGACTGCGACTTTTTGATTTTGCTGAGTTTTTTAATTTTAAAATATCATTTTTTATTTTTTTCTTTCTTTCATTTTTTGTTTTTCATTTTTATTTATTTTTTATTATTTGTTTGGAACAGCTGCGCGCCACTCCGACCAATCGCAAGCGCCACAAGTGGCGCGCGCGCCGCCAGTTGAGAAGGCCTGCCCTAGGGTCCCTTTTCATTACAATCCTGCCCCACATGCTTGAGCATCCGAACATTTATGAACCATTGCATGTAAACTTTTACAAATTAAAATCTTTGAAATAGACTCTTCTAAGTAGGGCCTAGGCCTAGACAGCTATAATAAGCAACCAGTCCGATACATATCGTGTCGGAAAGGGGAGCGAGGCTATAATATAACCCCCCCCCCCCCCCCGTTGCCTTAGTCGACGCATGCTAGGGGGGGGGGGTATGTTACGTCGCCTCCACTCTTCTATATAGTCTAGGCCTACGCCAAACTACATTCTTCTTACCTTCCAAAATATTTTGTTGCCCATTCCATAGTGCTCCATTGCTACCGGCAGGTCGCCCCTCATGTAGAGTTTTCGGAAAATGGTGGGTCTCATCTCTCGCGTGCTGGTCGCTGTTTCGATCGAAACAGGCTTGTTCCTACCCGCTTTGGGTCGCTTATGCGGACTGAGCTTTATCCTTGACATTACTTTGAGACAATTGTATCCAAACAATGAATAATTTACTTAAGATAAATAATTTATTTCAGATGGAAATAATATTGAGAAAAGCCTTTTTCGTGCCCCATCAGCTCAGCTCCTTAAAAACTATAAGAGGCGCTGCGTGTTGAAAACAAAGTGCGCAGAGTAGGCCTAACCTGCAGCGCGCAAGGATAAGGCACGCGCGTTGAGTCCAGAAATTACCCCGTGAAATGAATGCCCTACTTATTCCCGTTAAAGCAATCAATTACTGACAATTTACAGTCCATTTGATTGTACAGGTTATTTGTATATGACAGAGTACGCTCGACACACGTCTGTGACGTAGGAATTAATGCATATTCATATATCCACTAATCAGTGGCGTACCTGGGGTACTCCGTCAGGGGGGGCAAGCGACCAAAACAAACAAAAAAGGCGATGCTAATTTTCACTTCTGGCGAGAGAGCGAGCAAAAAAAAAAAAGGTTTAAGTAACGTTTGGTATATAAACTGGTATTGTTGCAAGTTGGGGGTGGGAACATTCACTTGTTAGCGACGTTAATTTCATTTTTTTGCAAACGAGCGTAGCGAGCAAGAAAAAATCACTTCTTTTTTAATAATTGCCTCTTAAACTTGGTTCAATTGTCCCATGCAGGGCGCGGGAACAATATTGTGTTTAGGGTGATTTTATACCCATTTAGCTCGCGAGCGAAAATACATCTTTCTCTCAATGAATTGCTATATAAATTTGTTTCATTGTTGCAGGTCGGGGGCGGGCACAATCGTGTTTAAGGCAATGTCAATCCCCTTTTGGCGGGCAGGCAACCCCCTACATTTCTCTTTTTAATGATATTGTAGCAGGTTAGTGGTGGGCACATAATTCCACGAGCTAGCGAGCGAAAAAAGTCACTTCTCTTTTATAGGGAAAATATGGTACATAAAACTTGGGTTCATTGTTCCATGTCAGGGACGTGATTATTAAAAGCGGTGTTATTTCTATTTGGCGAGCGAGCGTAGCGAGCGAGCAAAAAAATTACTTCTCTTTTATAGGGAAAATATGGTACATAAACTTGGGTTCATTGTTCCATGTCAGGGACGTGATTATTAAAAGCGGTGTTATTTCTATTTTAGCGAGCGAGCGTAGCGAGCGAGCAAAATTTTTGTAATGACAATTGGTTCATAAATTTCGGATTTTTGTTGTTGCAGGGCAGGGCTTACACAATCATGTCTAAGGTGATGTTAATTCCGTTTGGCGAGCACGAGCACATCAAAACTTCTTTGAATAACGCTTGGTACATAATTATTAACTGGTTGTTGCAGGTTGGGGCGGGCACGTTAGCGGTGTCAATTCCATTTTGGCGAGCGAGCATACCGAGCAAGCAAAAAAAAAAAATTCTCTTTTAATAGAAATTAATAAATAAACTTGTTTTTATTGGTGCAGGTCGGGATGGACGCAATCGCGTTTAACGCGATTCAATTCCTTTTCGGCGAGAGGGCGAAAAAAACTCTTCCATCCATTTCCAAAGCAAAGTCTATTCATTTTATTCGCGAGAGAGTGTAGCGAGCGAGAAAAATGAATTAGTCTCTTTTAGTAACATTTGGTACATACATTGTGTGTTATTGTTGCCATGGTTGCAGGTCGGGGCCAGTCGGGGCAGGCACAATTGTATTCTAGGCAATGCTAATCCTTTTTTTTTCAGGGGGACGAGCAAGTGAAAACATTTAATACAAAATAGGCTAGCAAGCAGTTCGCGTCAGCGAAGAGTTTCGAGCGACCGAACTGGTCATGAGGGTATTTTCATTTTCAAAAGTAGAATTGAAGGATTTGGTATAGGCCTACACTACATTTTCAGGAAAAAAACTGTACGTTTTCAAAATAGCTGGGGTCAACTGCCCCCCACCCCTGGTGCGTACGGCCATAGTCTTTTTTTTTTAATTTCCCCATTTTTTTCCTTTCCTTTTCTTTTCTCTTTTTCTTCCTTTTCTCTTCTTCTTCCTTTTTTCTTTCCTTTTCCTTTTTTCCTTTTTTCCTTTTTTCTCTTTCTTTCCTTTTTTCTCTTTTTTTCTTCCCTTTTCCTTTTTTCTTTTTCTTTCCTTTCCTTTCTTTTCTTTTCTTTCCCCTTTTTCATTTTTTCCCCTGGAGCCCGTCAGGGGAGGCACTCTGCCCCCCCTGCCCCCCCCCCATAGGTACGCCAGTGCCACTAATCTTGGTTCCAATTATGCTACCGTTATGCCCCGTTATGATAGCTTGTTAAATTTATGGTATTGGTAAAAGTAAAGTGAAAAAGTAGTCCTGTTTATATGATGGAGTATAAATAATATGTCATCATTATTATCTTCCTTGCTTGCTGTAATATGCGAGATGCAAGCAGGCGCGTACGCAGAGGGGGGGGGGGGGGGGTCGAACACCCCCCCCCCCCCCAACGGGACGAAATATCGATCGGCCGAATTTTCAAATTCCCCCTCCCCACCCTCTTAGAAAATCCTGGATCCGCCACTGTGTCAACCCCCCCCCCCCCCCCCCCCCCCCCTTAGCAAAAAGCTAGACCCGCCCCATAATCCCGGCGCCATCCCTTCGGCACCGACAATATTCCCTTGTCAATGGTTTGGCGGAGGGGTAAGGGGTCGCGGCCCCATCCTCCAATACCTACCGCCTTATGTCGTCCCTTGCACTTCACGGCCTTGCTGAAAAGTAGCTTCTAGCTGATAGCAGGCATTTTAACCATGATTAAATAAATAAAATACAAAACTAAATACAAATACTTAAACCAAAGTTGGAGTTGAGTACAATCTTCTGTTCTACGGGATTTAATCGGATGAACCTTGAATCTTTATGTTGATAATCCCTGCTATATATTGCCATGATTTGAGCGGACCCTGTCAGACTCGCCTGACCTATTCAATTTTGAGCTGCTGAAACATATAGAAGCTGGTAAGTTTTTATTTCTCACATTAACAAACTGACTAAATTTTATTCTTGTTTATTGTCGTATGTTGGAAATCTGTCGAATAAAAATCATTCAATCAATCAACAACAACAAATGTTTTAAAAATCTCTAAATATTTCTCAATTTCAATAGCCTAGTTTAAATTTTCATTAGTATGATGCTTGTTTCTTGTTTGTATAACATTATTAGGCGGACGATCAATTAACCACACCAAGACGATTGAGTAACGAATATGAAAAGTTAGAATGTTGATCAACACACATTTTTAGCACAAAAATAATTAATAGCTATTTGCATCTGTAAAAGAGAATATGAGGATTTTATTCTGGGAGGTTGCTTATTTTGGTCTCTCTTTCTCTCTCTCTCTCTCTCTCTCTCCCCTTTCTCTCTCTCTCTCTCTCTCTCTCTCCTCTCTCTCTCTCTCTCCTCTCTCTCTCTCTCTCTCTGTAACATTTCTTCTTCTCTTTTTCTCTTCTTCTTCTTCTCCTCCTCCTTTCCGTTTCTTCTTCTTTTTCCACTTTTTATTTTTCTTCCTATTCATTTTTTCCTTTCTCCTCCTTCTTCTTCCTCTTTTTCATTTCTTAGTATACTTCTTCCTTTCCTCCTCCCCCCCCCCAAAAAAAAAAATCCCCAATTTTTCTTTTTCCCTTCTTCTCCTCCTTCTTCTTTATACAGAAGTATTGTTATCGTAATTGGGACAGTATGTTTCAGTTTTCAAGTATGATGAGGCATCAAGTTGCCATGATCTTCATCTTTCGTTTACCAAACGAGAGTATGAGGGGGTGGGGGAGCGGCAGTTTTCTAATCAGCGCGAACTTTTTTCTCTTTCAAAGTGATTTGGGGGGAAGGGGTTCCTGACCCCTCTTTTGATTGGTCAGGTTATGTGATAAAATATTTGAGTCAGCGAAATTCCAAACGAAGATAAACATTCTAATTCTGCGTTATCTAGAAATAATCCGATGTTCTTTGAACCAATAATCCATTTCTTTAACTGCAAATGAGACGAGCAAAGGTCATTCATGCCAACTTATATATATTATTACAAAAAATCAGAAATTAATGCTGGTTATAGGTGCTGATAAAACTTATGAAATCGTATGATACGTTTTTTCTTCTTATTTGCTTGTCAGGGATTTTTTTTCTTGTTCTGACATGTGTACCCCCTCCCTAGCTGCAAGGAAATCCTTGATCCGCCACTGAGCGGCATACTTCAATGTGCCCATGAGTATTCTGTAAACCGGTCAAGTAGATAACAGTTATCAGTTAAACGACTCGACGGTGTCACTTCAGTATTAAATGCACAGCACATGATCGTCAAAGGGGTCGAAAATGTCCCCTATAGTATTTTAGGGGGAACGGGGGAAGGTGCAGTTGTCTTAGTGGTAATTTTGTTTTAGGAGTAGGAAATTGAAAGGGTGTATTAGCCTTGTTCTGATCTTCTTCTTCTTGTTTTCTTGTTTTCTTGCTTTCCCCTTTTCTTCCCTTTTTTGTATTCGAGGAGGGGGGGGGGGGGGGGGTATATACTTCATTGGACCCGTCTCGAGATTTAAATCCCTTTGAACGTATCATTTTGTCCGGTTATTTGTTTGTTAGTGATCATCATTCAGGATGCGTTTCGACGATATTCTTGGTGAGCTGGGCTCGTTCGGTTCCTATCAGAGACGCGTTTATCTGGTCGTATGTTTGATGGCAGCTACCACCGCATTTCACTCCATGACGCAGGTTTTTATAGCTGGGACTACAGATCATTGGTGTACGGTAAGGAGAAAAGGAATTTTTTTTTATTAGAATAAAAATGGATAGAAAAATACATATAAATTGAAACACTGAGAGAAAATGAAAATTAACTTCGAAAAGAGGGATGGAGAAAAAAAATGACAAACAAGGAAAAAACTAGAACAACAAAAAGAACCAGAAGGCGAAGAAGGATAACTTATCTAGTGAAACTGATGATGACGCTGGTGATTATAACGATTGTGATATTAGTATAGAAGTAGTCCCACTTCGTATGTCTAAGGCAACGCCCCTAGATTAAATCCCAAGCCAATGTTTGGAGGTTCAAATCCCAACCCGACACTAACGTCCCCCCCCCCCCCCCCCACTTAGGGGTCGGAATGACCGCATGCGTGTTGCCAAAATGTCCGGTAAAGGGGTACTTTTCGTGCGACAAAGTCCGGCCAGAGCATTGTAAAAAAAGGGGTGTATATGACTTTTCACCCGGAGATTTCTTTAAAAAGGGGGTGTTTTTCCTTTTTTCTCCTCATCTCTTTGGACTCCTGAGAAGTTATTCCGAATTTAGGGGGGTACATTGAGCATTTTTCCTGATTTAGGGGGTCTCTAAGGCAGGAAAAGCCCGCGAAAAGCCCGCGAAAAGCCCGCGAAAGGGGGGTCCGGAAATGTTGGCAGTCCTCAGATAGGGGGTGCTTTCAAAAAGAGGGAACGAGCATGTGCGTACCCTAAATAACACTGAATGGGGGCCGGGCTGCTATGACGGGCGGATCGTGCCATAAAGATGACAACTATACAACTATACATCCATCGAATGGATGTAGGGTTTTAACCAATCAGAACGCAGGAAACTGTACAACTATACAACTATACGACTATACGACTATGCAACCATACAGCTATAGAACGCATGTACGGTTGTTACGTTTGCGGGCCAAAATGCCATAATTGCGAACAACCATACATCCATTCAGCTCTATGGCTGTACGGATTTAACCAATCACAATGCAGGAAACTATACAGCCATGGCGGCGAGAATGTCTGTATAGTTTTACGGCTGTATAGTTGTATAGTTGTATAGTTGTACAGTTTCCTGCGTTCTGATTGGTTAAAACCTAACATCCATTCGATGGATGTATAGTTGTATAGTTGTCATCTTTATGGCACGATCCGCCCGTCATAGACGCGGCCGGGCTAACGTCCTTTGGCAAGACAAAAATCCACACTCGCCAGTTTCCGCCCGGCAGGTTGTTAAAGTTAATACAAAGTTTTGGTATGGGTTCATAAATTTGGTTCAAATGAACATATTCACCTAATACGGCATGATGAGGGCGTGATGCTCAGAGTCATATGTCGTATTCATGGAAAGAAGAAGAGGGGAAGACCTCGTAAAGGCTTTCTAGATGATGTTATCACACAATGTGGAGCAACAGGGTATGAAACGATGAAACGGCTGGCTCAAGACCGAGAAACTTGGAGAGAAACTTGGAGAGACACGTGATATAGAATTTTCAATGGGTCACTAAACCTGTCATAAACTGACAGATCACTATTGATGAACATATTGGAAGCATATGCAATCTTATAATATTCAGTGATCGTTGTCGCGGCTGAAATCGAGTCTAAATTTGTGAAATTGTAAATAATAAACTCTTTATGTTGTATAGCTCCCTCTCAATGTCAAGATATTAATTATGCAATGACTAAATTCGACCGATTAGCTTTTCCCGTTTGGAAATTATATATCACAACTACATACTCTGAGATTTTCATGGCCACAATTACCATTGTACGGCCGGAGCCGGTTGAAATATATCAAAATTGTAAAGAATCACTATCCACCCAATTTTCAAAATTTCCCAAAACTTTGTATTACCTTTAAATGGATATATACCCGGTAGGGTATGAGTGTCATTGTAGTTTGCTCGGCATTGTGAGCACCTGTAGAATGAAATAGAATGCTCCGCGGGAGTGGAGAATGTGCAGACATGCGGGCAAGCCTGAATGACCGGGGTAATACATTTTCAAAGGGCGTATACAGACAATGTCGGAGTGTAAAGTGCGATATAAACCAAGAATATTATCATTATTTTGTATGAACCAGGCCGAAAACTGGGAGGATGAGAACTGCACTGAGTGGAATTTGTCTGCTGATGAGTGCGAGGAGGCGAAGAAGAACGGTAGTATTCCAGTCAGTTACGAGGGCGACGGAGATCTTTTCTACGATCAATGCTATATGTATAACATCACAGGTAAAAGTAAAAATACAAAATTGTAGTATAATTATTTTACTTAAATAAATCCCAGCCACATAAATACACAATACAAGCACAGCATGACGCTCGAAACTCTTGGAATATAGGCTACCTATTATTTTATTGGCTTTATCATTCGCTTTATTAATTATTGAATGTCTTTACAAGCAACTGCACAATCTCCTGGTGTCAATCTTTTGACTTAGAACTATTTGAATGAACGAACAAAATGAACGAATGAATACATTCATAAATAAAAGAATGAATGAATGAATGAAAAAATGTCATTATAAATACAAGAATGAATAAACATTTCTTTCTTTTTTTTTCTTTCGCACAAAGGCGTGGATTTTGACCCATCATACAATTCGCCGACGAATGGTAGCGCCGAGATTTTGCCGTGCCAAGATGGTTGGGAACACGATAAGAGTGAGCTGAAATCATCCATCGTCCAAGATGTCAGTTCTCTTTATTATTTGCGTACAATTTAGCCTATATAGAAGGAAGCAGACTTGCCCATGCTTACCACAGAAGAGCAGATTGGCCTCCCTCATTTTTAACACCTCCGTACTTTTATGACCATTTGATAGTGCCTTCAATATTGTGTGGCATGATAAAAAAAATTAAAACATGATCCAGAATGATGATTATTAGCTTGAAACACCGTGTTGAAAAGGTTGCAATGAGTTCTTAAGACCGTTTAAGTTACGTGTATTATATCAAATTTGAATAATGTGCATGGGCTACAGCGGCTGTGTCACAAGAACAAACAAAAAGAATCAATACAAGAAAACAACAAATCAAACATTTTCTGGCCATGTTTGCAAAAATCTCGGAAAAAAACTCAGTTGCATGGAGCCCAATTTATTATTTTCATTACACTTTTATTTCAAATGTTGTCTTTGCAGTGGGATCTAGTATGTGAAAAGAAAAACTTGCCCGACTACGCTCAATCTGTGTTTTACTTTGGTTATATGGTTGGATCTATCTTCTTCGGAGTCCTTGCAGACAAGTGAGTCCAAAGTAATTTTCTTTCTTTCTTTACAAAAATCTGTTCTTCTTCTGTATTCTTTCGTTTAATTAGTAATATCTAGATATTTGTTTATTTTAAATACATACATTTATTCATCTCTCTTCTTTACCTGTTCATTCGTTTATTTTATCTATTTGTTAATCATTCAATTTAATAGGCTACTCATTTCCCCTTTTTATTTTCTCCGATCATCTCAGAATTGGTCGATATCCTACTCTGTTCATTTGCCTCGGTGTCCAGGCTGGTGTAGGTGTACTCATCGCTTTCTCACCTAACTACTGGGTGTATATTTTTCTTCGATTCTTCCAAGCGGCTGGCAACAAGGCTGTTTTACAAGTTGCATTCATCATAGGTATAATAATCAGTTTTAATCAGTCATTGTTTGTGTTATAAATGCTTTCTTAATTTGATGCGCATTTAGCACAATATCTTAACAAGAATTCATGAGACAGACTAACCTCAATTTACTGCTTTAATCTACGCCTCTCTATACCCACACCCACCCACACCCACACTCTCTCTCTCTCTCTCTAGCTTGTCCTCTTACGTCACTTTCCCTACTCTTACTCTCTTTCTCTCGTTCTCTCGTTCTCTCGTTCTCTTTCGCTAATTCTGTATTCCCTATCTCTCCCACGCACTCTTTCTCCCATCCTCATTATCACCTCCTCTCACATTTGCTTAATTTTACATGTATTAATTCTTGTCCCTAGTGTTTGCTTTATACGGAGTCTTCCCAAGTTTACTTTAAAAATATTCATCTTATGATAATATCCTTTTGATCATTATTACTCGTCTCTGTAAATAATCAGTAGTCTTAGTTGACTCAGTTGTGCTGTTTGCTTTGAAAACTAAAATCGTTAGAAGTGGAAGTCACTCAAAAGTAGCGTAACCTCATCGATTCACTTCGGCATATTTAGTTCTACGTATAGTGAGAATTATATTCAAAACCAAAAGCCCCTCCCATAAACATTGGTAGTTGCCTACAATGCATTTAATGTAAGGTTACTAAGTATACAATTAAAGGTGCGTTGGAGAATGTATGGTGAAAAAAAAATGTTTTACGTCTTTCTTAATTCTTTTGAATATAAATTATTAAAGGAGGTGTAGCATGGCAAATACTGGTTAACGCCATCTACGACTTCTTTTGGACAACTGCACGTGAACGAATGGACTTGATTGACGGTCAGCGCGCGCTAGCGTTTGCAAAACCGACCGAAGCACGCTTCGGTTTCGCGTATGTTGCACGCACGTGGACTGCATGCGGTCGCGTCGTCCGTAGTCGTATACCCGATTGGCCCCGAGTCAGGCCACGTGAAAGACACGTAGTCTCGTCATGCTACACCCCCTAATGTCATTATTGTACGATTATGTATTTTGTAAATGAATATTCTTCTCTATTTATATGTATCCTCAATAGTTGTAAACATATACATCTCAGCTTTTTAGCTGCAGCATATGCATCATATATGTTTTCCAAAATAAACCTTGAATTGATTTTTTACAGTTGTTGAGTTTGTTGGACCAAAATGGCGGACGGTGGCCGGTATTACCTTCCAGATTTTCTTCGCCTTGGCCTATATGCTTCTTGCTATCATCGCATACTTTGTCCGGTATTGGAGGACTCTGCAACTCATCATCTCTGCTCCACTGTTTCTTTTCTTCTTACTTATGCCGTACGTCTTTTTCAATTATTCTTGCAATCGTACTTTTGTAGGTGGCAGCACCAATAGGGCATTTCCTTTCTAGCTGCCTCATCATTCACATAAATACCCACTTTTCTCTATGTTGTTGTCCAGATCATCTAATCTTACACAATGTTTTTTTTTATTTTGACTATATATCTTGTGGTTTTGTATGTTATTGTATTTAAATGTTTTTTATGATGAATGGAATAAATTTGATTATCTTTTCTTATCTATCTTATCTTATCTATCTTATCTTATCTATCTTATCTATCTATCTTTGCTGTCATAATTATTAGCAAAAACTAAGTAAAAACTCAGTAAAACTAAAATATGCCCCCCCTTGATTATGACACCGTAGTTGAAGTTCTAGTAGATGTGATGAGCATTTTTGTTGTATTATTGGTGCTTTCCAAAGAATCTTCGGAACTGAATCAAGGTTGGGATTTGCCTTGAAAAAACTTGAGTGAAAGTGAATTGAATCTGTTCTATTTTTATTTTATTAGCTTCGTACCAGAATCAGCACGTTGGCTTCTGTCTCATGGTGATAGCAAGGAAGCCGAGAAGATAATTAACAAAGTCGCCAAAGTCAATAGAAGAAAATTACCTGATCCGCTCTTCACAGAAGAAGAAATAAAAGAACAGGTACATTTGGATCACGCTCAGAGAATTTCTCTAATCTTTTTTAAAATCCTGATTGAAGTAAAGATTGTTTTTTAGTCGTAGGTCTCGTTGTGTATCGGCTCCGTTCTATCAAATGCCTGTCGCAAAGTAACAGTATTTACTTTCAAAAATGCATGCAAACAGATGAAAACAAATAATTGTCGGAGCAAATCTTTGCAAGAATTCGTTTTATTATTGATAACACTTGTCATATTCCCCGCATCTCAAGATGTGTATAATATCTTCTAAAGTGTTGTATCTTATTCGTATTCGTTTCAAGGAAGCCGCTAGTTTAGCGCCCAAAGCAGGCATCGTCGATCTTTTCCGAACGCCTGAGCTCCGTTGGAGAACCATCAACTTAATTTACAACTGGTGAGCTATTCTGATAAAGATCATTAGGGATCTCCTGAATAAAACATTGCCATCATTCGAAGCTTATTCGGTTTTTATTCTGACTGGAAGAGTTTAATGAACTAAAATTCCCGTTGTTAATATATTTATCGTTATTTAGAAGCTTAAAACAAATCCTATCTAGTGCAAATTCCAATTCTTCGAAGTACGTGTGTGCAATGGGCCTAGGGACCCATTCTGTGTTTAACCATTCCTTGGTTGAACTGTGATATATACAAGCCACTCTTTTGCAAAAGGAATTGATCTCTAAAATATACATTTATAGTAATTAACAGCTGTATCGCAAAGCCTTTACTTTCTTCAAAATCATACCTCTTTTTTCTTCTAAGGATGGTTAATAATATGGTGTACTCTGGATTGACGTATAGTACTGGTGACCTCGGGGTCAATGTCTACCTGAACTTCTTCCTGTCTGGAGCAGTTGAGATCGTCGGTTACGTCTCAGCCATGTTCGCCATCGAGTTCTTTGGTCGTCGCCCTAGTATTGCTACTTTCCTTTTCATTGGTGGATCTGCATGTCTTATCAACATTGGTCTACGTACGTAGTCATTCACTGAATATTTTCTTTCTAATAATTTTTTAAAACCAATTTTGTTCCGTGTAGCACTCAGAATAGGGAGTTTCTTTCAAGAACAAAGGCCTATTCATGGTGACCCAAAGGTGTCGCTAAAGGTCATTACAGGCGCGCAGGTTATGAAAGAACAATTCTTTTTATTCAATTAGCATTCAATTATTTTGTTTTATGGAGGGGTGTCGGGGGCTTGCATTATCTTCTTGCATTAAATTCCTACATGTATATCGCTTTGATTTTATTATACATATATTACTTTTAGCCCCAGTCCCCCCCCCCCAAAAAAAAAAAACCACTATTGGCAAATGTAAATGATTGATACCCCTTCCCTGCATTTATTCCGTGACCAAAGTCCTTCAATTATTAGTTTTTTCTTCTGTAAAACTTCATAAATTGAATTGATTAATGTTCATAAGATACATAAAATGAGTACAATACATTTTTTTTTTAGAACTTTACGAAAAGTACAGATTCATATGGAGCGTTCCGTCTATAATTTAAAAGGTAGGTAGTATGGAAAAAAAACTGGTGACGACATTTACGTCTTCTTTTGGACAACAGTACTGCACGTAAACGAATGGACTTGATGAACTGGGTCAACGAGCGCTAGCGTTTGCGAAACAGACCGAAAATCTCCTCACGCTTCGGGTGAGCGTATGTTTCACGCGGTTCTAGGACACCTACCCCCTGGACATCCACCCCCGGATCACCACCCCCATTCAACTAGCCCCTAGGACAACTAGCCCCTAGGACAACTGACCCCTAGGGCAATTATCCGCGTCGTCCGTAGTCGTATTATACCCGATTTTCCCCGAGTGAGCCTTGGGGAAGATGCATAGTCTCGTAATGCTACAGCCCCTTTAACTCTAAATATACTAGTTCATCTCTTTTATTATAATCAGCCATTGGTACATGGAACACAGTGGTCGCCCTGACAGGGAAATCAGCAATATCGGCTTCCTATGCCATAGTCTACATATACTCCGCAGAGTGTTTTCCAACGCCTGTCAGGTAGGTCAAGTGACATAATTTATCCGAGGTTGCACGGGAGGGGAAGGAGGGGGGGGGGGGGGGGGGGGTACGTGAAACGCCCACATCAAATGCGATCATGGGGAGAGATAGGGAGGGAAAAGAAGGGAAGAGGAGAGCAGAGCAGCTGAGAGAAAGAGAGAGAGAGAGAGGGAGAGAAGACAAACAAAAACAAACAAACTAAACAATAGAGGGATATGAAATGTGAAAAGGAGATACTACCAATTCGTATATCATCCATCAAATAAGATTAGCGCCCCCCCCCCTCCACATCGACACGTAATGTTGTCGGTGTCCCCTAAGTTGGCAATGCCCCCCCCCCCCCCCACCCCCTTAAAATATCTTGACCCACGTTATGCCACTTAGTAAATCTGTTCAGGTGAAGAAACAAACTTATGAAAAAAGTGTGCCATAAAAATGTAGCCTTTAAAAAATAAATGAGTTTACGAGCTGGCTCACTGTTATTGATTTATCATGTGTTGTCTCAAATTGAACAAGAACAACACGCTTCTGCGAAATCACACAACTTAATTCTTTTGTAACGTGAATTATGGCCTTCAGTTTGGAAATAACATGTTGAAACCCGTTTGTGACTAAGGCAAAAGCTTGTTTAGAAATAAGTTCAGTATTTTCTAGTAGAGTTTTTGCTCTAGCTTTGTCATTTGCTATTCTACGCACCTATATATCTATCTATCTATCTTCCTTTCCCCTCTCTCCCCCTATATTCCTCTATATCTCTCTCTTCTACTTTTACATGTATTTTGTATAAGTTCTCTTTTTATTTTTGTCTCTGTATGTTAAGTCAGTAGTAATAATCCAGTTCATTAAACCTACACGCGACAAGCCTAGCTTTTAAGTAGAACCACTTTCAATTCCGTATTTAGTGGTAAACATAAATACTTTCGTGTCATTAATTTTTAAGATACAGGATTATTTACCTCCATATTACTTAAAGAAAATAATGTTAATGTTTATTAAAAGGTAAATTATGCTTTGTTAACTTTGCATGGAATATGAATGAAAGCAACCAATCAATCTGTTTGACTTGTATTGAACCACAGGAGTATCGGTGTCGGGACCTGTTCCATGATGGCTCGTGTGGGGGCCATCATCTCACCCATGATTCTCATCCTGGGGGAATACTATTACCCCGCCCCTCTCATCATCTTTGGCACCACCACCATCTTGGCTGGTTTCCTCTCCTTCCTCCTCCCCGAGACGCGCGGCAAAAAACTTCCCGAAACCGTCGAGGAAGGGGAGATTTTCGGAACGTAAGTATGATCATGATGACAATGTAATGACAATTATATCATTTACCCAGGGAAGCCGCTTTACTATTAATAGTCCTACCGTTCTTGAAAATGGCTCTTCAATTTCCTTATTAGCCCCAGCATTAATTGCTAGATACCCGTTTAAGATACCTGGGTCGAGAGGAACCGACATTAGCAAAATGCAGGTAAAACATCTTCCCGTGGTGTTAGAAAGATCGATCCTTGGACCTTTCGTATGGAAGTCAAGTGCCTTCACCAATATACCTCTGTTCGCCCACTATGCTACAGTGTCCCCTCATCAAAAGTGTTATGTCGAAGCTCTATTACTATCTAAATGTTCGATATCGTCGTGAAAATGTTGATTAATTTGCCTTCATATTTGAGAAAATATATCTTCATTTGCATCCATGTTGTGTTGTTCGAGGTGTTGGTGGGGTTCCATGACACATGCTCCGCCGACGATTGCTCCGCCGACATTTACTCCGCAAAACGCGACAATTGCTCCGCGACATTTGCTCCGCGACATTTGCTCCGACGTCAAATTCTCCGCCGACAGGTGCTCCGCCGACAGTTGCTCCGCCGACAGTTGCTCCGCCGACAATTGCTCCGCCGACAGATGCTCCGCCGACAATTGCTCCTCCGACAATTGCTCCGCCGACAATTGCTCCGCCGTCAATTGCTCCGCAAAACGCGACAATTGCTCCGCCGACATTTGCTCCGCCGACATTTGCTCCGCCTGAAGCGACACTTGCTCCGCCGACATTTGCTCCGCCGACATTTGCTCCGCCGACATTTGCTCCGCCGTCAATTGCTCCGCCGACAATTGCTCCGCCTGAAGCGACAATTGCTCCGCCGACATTTGCTCCGCCGACATTTGCTCCGCCGTCAATTGCTCCGCCGACAATTGCTCCGCCTGAAGCGACAATTGCTCCGGTGACATTTGCTCCGACGACATTTGCTCCGCCCAAAAAGTGTCCCATTAAATACAAATGCTACTAGTACTACGACAAATGCTTCGCCGACAAAATTTTTTTTTTCACGGGTCGTTTTTTTTTTTTTTTTTTTTCTTCATTTTTTGAATGCATTTCATGACATTATGTAAATGAAATGAAATGAATGAATGTTGATAATGTGGGAGGAAAAAGCAGTTGCCTAAAAGTCATTTCGAATATACTGAAATAACTTTCCATCTATCACTGTACGTCCCACATAATGTACACTAAACACTCATTACATGTCATGGGAAGTTTTTTTTTTTTTTAAGTAGAGCAGCAAGCCACATTCCCCAATACGCGCATACCTCCTAGTTAATTTCAAACAGCTCATCAATATGTAAGACCTGAAATTACCTCAATGAAAGAAGACTAATAACATGAGAGGAAAGAAAAGAGCAAAAAAGACAACCGTTTTTTGCTATTCCCCATAATGTTTGATTTAAAAAAATAAAAAATAAAATTATAGCTCCTTACGCAAGTTCTCCGGCGAAAGATAATTACTCCGCTCAAAATCTGTTTCATGTATTACTCATTAGCTGATCCAAAGCTCAAGGCTATCTCTCTCTCTCTCTCTCTCTCTTTCTCTCTCTCCCATGCTCCTCCTTTTCCTGTTTACACCGTTTTCTTGTCTTCTTTGCTCTTTTCTTTCCTCTCATGCTATTAGTCTTCTTTCATTTCCATCACTTCTTCTCTGCTCCCCCTCTCGAGTTTTATTTCTCTCGTGAAATTGAAACGTAAAGTAATACAATCATGTAGTACATTCTTGTTTAGAATAATATTTTCAATAATATCCAGTCCATTTTCTAAAGGTTTCTTTCCTTTAGTTAAGTGTATGTAGCTTTAATATATATATGTTAGTGTGCAAAACACTCCGTTTCATTCGAGTACTTTGTTTTCACTAAATAATTTAAGGGACTCACGAAGCCACCGGAAGAAGAGCAATTGGCTTATCATGAAGAACTAACATCAAACTGCAACAAAATGATTTGTATAAATGTGAATAAGCAGAAAGGCTGCCATCTCATTTTCCCGTCTGAATGGGTTCTCTTCCTTACGTATATAAGTGCCCTTATTTTCTAAACTTTTTTTTTTATATTTGTGTGTTTATTAAATTTTCAATCATATAAAAATTACATATTTACAAGTCATTGGTTATAATTAGACAAACAAAAAAACCAATATGTATAAGAACAACTAACAATAATGAAAGGACAAGAAAGTTATAAAAAAAAAACATTATAGTAAAAAAAAATACACTGTACACATATAAATCATAGTTTGAACTCCAGTGCATAAAGGGGAGTGAGGGGGCACAGGAATAAAAGTTAAATCAACATGAGTATCATAAGTCAAATCGCCATTTCTTAAAATGCGAAACAAGCTTGTTCCTTTTTTTCGCTGAGAAATATTCAATATCTTTTTGTTTCTTTATAAAACTCTTAAAAAGATCAACACTTGGTAAATCCCCCTTACTTATTTTCTAAACTTCCATGATGACCTATTACATTGTATAATGCTTTACCTAGTAAGATGCATTGATCGAGGTAATTTCAGGTATTACATATTGATGAGCTACTTGAAATTAACTAGGAGGTATGCGCGTATTGGGGAATGTGGCTTGCTGCTCTACTTTTTTTTAAAAACTTCCCACGACATGTAATGAGTGTTTAGTATACATTATATGGGACGTACAGTGATAGATGGAAAGTTATTTCAGTATATTCGAAATGACTTTTAGGTAATTCCTTTTTCCTCCCACTTCATCAACATTCATTCATTTCATTTCATCTACATTATTTCAAGAAATGCATTCAGAAAATGAAGAAGAAAAAAAGAAACGAAAAAAATAGGTGTAAAGAAAATATTGTCGGCGAAGCATTTGTCGTAGTACTAGTAGCATTTGTAGTTTATGGGACACTTTTTGGGCGGAGCAAATGTCGTCGAAGCAAATGTCGGCGGAGCAATTGTCGCTTCAGGCGGAGCAATTGTCGGCGGAGCAAATGTCGGTGGAGCAAATGTCGGCGGAGCAAATGTCGGTGGAGCAATTGTCGCTTCAGGCGGAGCAATTGTCGGCGGAGCAATTGTCGGCGGAGCAAATGTCGGCGGAGCAAGTGTCACTTCAGGCGGAGCAAATGTCGGCGGAGCAAGTGTCACTTCAGGCGGAGCAAATGTCGGCGGAGCAATTGACGGCGGAGCAATTGTCGGCGGAGCAATTGTCGGCGGAGCAATTGTCGGCGGAGCATCTGTCGGCGGAGCAATTGTCGGCGGAGCAACTGTCGGCGGAGCAACTGTCGGCGGAGCAACTGTCGGCGGAGCATTTGACGTCGGAGCAAATGTCGCGGAGCAAATGTCGCGGAGCAATTGTCGCGTTTTGCGGAGTAAATGTCGGCGGAGCAATCGTCGGCGGAGCATGTGTCGGGTTACCGTTGGTGGTGCCCCAGTTGGTACCTTTGGTGTTGGGGATGATTCTGATAAACAAATACACTCAACCATCACATACTCTTCGTCTTTTACATGTTGCAATAAACATTTACATTATTTGAGTAAAACATGTTGAAAAATTGTCTCATCTTAGGTATTTTTATTTAGGAGGCCAGAAAAGTTATCTCTCATGTGCCGAACGGGATGGAAAATTAACAAGTGCGCAGGCACAGGACATGTTTTTTGTTGCAATATCATTATGGCTCTCCCTCGCTTCCTTGTACAAATAATATTGTTCTTGCTTTGAATTTTAATGACACTTTTTGGAACGCTTGCTCAGTAGAATATGGAGAATGCTACAAGAGTAAACATTGGAGGATTATAGGAGAAAATTCTTGTTCGATTTCAAGTCAGATCTTAGTCAGTAGAATTGCGATATTCTTACATTTTTAGGAAAGCATACGATGACAAGATATCAGATGACGAGGCCAGGGAGAAGGAAGGCGATGACGTCACTGAAATACCACTCGATGACATCAACGATGGAAAAGCACACACGAACGAAGCTTTTGAATCTGATAATCGTGTTTAGACGCCGACGTGTGATGCCCGTCGAACTACCAAAAATTATTACCTTATCCTGTTATCGAGTAAAGATTGGTTAAAACATCATGGAAAATCTGATGAACGGCTGTCTGTTTATCACCGCCCGAAAAATGACTGAAATTTTCGATCAGTTGGGAATCGCAGACAAAAAGCACTGTATGATGTCCGCGCTCGCTCAAGGAACATTTTAACACGTAAACCAATGGGTATCGCAGCGAGATTTTTTATTATTTTCCCGGTAACTGGAATTTTTAAATGGCATTGGCATTTTTTGATTCTTTACGGGAATGGCTAAAATCACGACTGAAATTTCGACCAATCAGATATCTGGATTTCTTAAGTGAGGTATATATACCTCACTTAAGATTTTATAGTGAGGTATATATATACCTCACTTAAGAAATCTAGCCATCTGATTGGTCGAAATTGCAGTCGTGGTTTTAGCCATTCCCGTAAATAAACGAAAAATGCCAAACCCATGTAATAGTTCTAGAGTAAATCAGCAAAATTCCAGTTACCCGGAAAATAGTTCAGTCTTGCTGAAATATCCATTGGTTCACGTGTTAACAATTTCTTTGTGGAATGCGCATTGGTTTACGTGTTAAAGTTTTTTGTGGAATGCGCAGCGCGGCTACCACGCAGTTTTTGGGCAATTAATTTGGTTGCTACATTTGCACACAGTGCAGACGACCGCCGATCTCGATTGTAGGCCTTGATCTACATGTAACGACGAAATGACGCCCCTTTGGAAAAACCTGCTCTTTCATATGACACCTCATTTTTTGAGTATCACCTTTAAGTTCAGGAACACAAGCAAGAAAGGTTTGCATCTCGTTTTAAAAATAATTTTGTTAATGCACGTAGATCTAGACTGCATATTTATGCGTGATATCTCAATGGGAAGGATTTTAGCCCACAAACTCGAGTGGTGGGCGATCAGACACCCTATTATTAAGGCTAGGTCTCGATTGCGTAAACAAACTTGATTACGTATTGTATGACCCTTTGGAAATATGGAGATAAACCTGCTCTTTCATATGACACCTCATTTTTTGAGTATCACCTTCAAGTTCAGGATCACAAGCATTAAAGGTTTGCATCTCGTTTTGTGAAATAATTTTGTTAATGCACGTAAATCTAGACTGCATATACAGTGTGAGTCCAACAAAGCGTTTACACCTAGAAAATTGCTAATTATTTTTAAAATCATCTATGAACAGTAAATTATTATACATCTTATGAAAGAATGTTTTCTCCCAAATCATTTAGTATCATTTTTGTGTGGTATGTGTTGGATAAACAGGAGGCATTGTCTGCGAGATCGACTTGTGCCAAAGTTGCTTAGACCCTGCTATGTGATGTTTGAATAAAACAATTGGAATTTGGGTTTTAATTCGGTCTTTGCAGGTCCAAATAACATCCCTATCAAAATTATCATGTCACACATATCAAATATCAACAAACACTTGTGCGCGTGCGCGTGTGTGCGTGTGTGTGTGTGTCTTTGCTTCTGCAAAAAGCATATGCAATGCATTTAATTTGATACATTCAATTCATTACCTCATCTCTCCGCTAATCCCAACATAATACATACTGTAGGCCAGGCGCGGATCCAGGATTTCTTAGGGTGGGGGGGGGGGGGGGGGGGGGCAAATTCAAAATTATGCGAGCCAAATATTGGTACGTTATGGTGACATTGGCAGTGGCAAAAACGTTGGGGGGGTAGACCAAAAAAAATCCCCATCACTCTTATGTGCAGGCCCCGCTGAACGTTTCTCGGCGGGGGTCAATGGGTGGAGCCCCCAGAAGCTCAGGGGTATAGGCATTTTAGTAAGATGGGCATATTTTTATACGTTATTTCTGACTCTGGGGTCCAGAGGGCGGAGCCCCCAGAAGCTCAGGGATTATATACATTAAATTATCATCAGATGAGCATACTTTATACCTTGTATATGACACTGGCAGGTCACGAATTGGCGTGGGGTCCAGGCGGCGGAACCTCTGGAAGCTCAGAGGTTTTATACATCAAATTATCGTCAGATGAGCATAATTTTATACGTTATTTGTGACACTGGCAGATCACGAATTGGCGTAGGGTCCAGGGGGCGGAGCCCCCCGAAATTCAGGGGTTTCATACATTCAATTAATACCGTCAGATGAGCATATTTCGATACCTTATTTGTGACACTGGCAGGACACAAATTGGTGTTGTGTCCAGGGGGCGGAGCCCCGGAGGCTCAGGGGTGTTGGGCTATAAATTACGGTCAGATGAGCATAAATATACCTTTTTTTTTGTGACACTGGCAGGTCACTAATTGGTGTGGGTCCAGGGGGCGGAGACCCCAGAAGGTCAAGGGTTTTAGCATTTAATCATGGTCAGTTGAGCAACAACAAAAAATTAAATAAATATTTGGGCCCGGAAATTAGAAAATTACGTCGTCAAATATTTCGTTCAGTGGCTTTGGTGGGGGGGGGGGGGGGGGGGGGCGAAGGGAAAATTTCTTTGTTCTTGCTTTCTTTAGCACCAACAAAAAAAATATATCTTTCCCCTTTTTTTCCCCTTCTTTTTCCCTTCTTTTTTCCATTCTTTTTTTTTTTTGCCAGGGGGGGGGGGGGGAAGGTCCGGCCCCCCCGGATCCGCCACTGCTGTAGGCATCACTTAGGCGCAAACAATGCTTCCTGTTCATCCAAGCGTGATACCATACAAATATGATACCAAATGATTTGGGATATAAAAAAACTCAGATAGCGTAAACAAACTTGATTACCATGATTGGTCGCACATGTATTCTATGACCCTTTTCGGTATATAAAAGTAATAATGACTGCTTTGCCTCGGGCAATAGCTCGATTGTAACCTCCCCTTGAGCGTATAAAAACAATAATGTCTCTCAAAGCAGTCATTAGTACTATAATACTTTATTTCAGATCCTTAAAAAGTGTAAGAGGAGCTGCGTGTCATTTTGAAAACATAACGTGCAAAGTAACTTGCAGCGCTTAAGGATATTAATGATGTGCGCGTTGAGCCTAGAAATTCGAGAAATTCCCATGAAATGAATCATGACATTTTTAGATCGATTTTAGGGCTTAGTGAATCACCCCCCCCCCCTGTTTTCCCCTTCCTTTTACTTTGTATGCCGCCCCTTTTCTATCTCTCTCTCTTTCTCTGTCCCTTCTCTCTCTCTCTCTCTTTCTCACCATACATGCCACTTTCAAATTTCCCTCTTGAAAAATCACTATTGATAAATAACAGATAATGTTTGAGGTTTGGGGTTATAGGGCTTGACAGTTTAATGATAATGCTTGTTTTTTTCAACACGGACTCACAAATAACCATATCATGAATTTATAAAAATATTATGAAAATATAATGATTTATACAACAATTGTATTCCATTGTCATCATATTTAACTTTTCACCTTAAATCGTGATTTAACTCATGGCCTGCCATGAGGTTGCATGCACGCTATCGTTATCCTGCTTTGTCCATGCGAGAGAGCTATCGCTTGAGTGCCATGTGCGTGCAATGCACCATTTGTAATAGCAGTTATTGTTCATGCTCATTGGACTGTGCTGTGTATTTTGCACTCGCAATTCATAGAACCGACGCGTTAATGAGATTATCTCCAAAACAACCTGACACGGGGGGATTTGGGGCTTGGCACAATGGGGATTAGCCCTGTGGCATGATAAGACTTAAAAATAATTAAACCCGGTGCTGTAAATGATGATAATGGTGATGATTTTGATGATAATTTTTTTTTTTTTTTATTGTTTATAAACGTTTTAGCCCTCTATAAGCTATTTTATTGAGTCAAACAAATATTTGTACAATTCAATGAAATTAAGTCTTTCCTTAACTCAAACAAAACAGAATACTTTCACATTTCTCTCCTTGTTGTTAATTCATACTAACAAATGTTGAAGTGACTGCCATTCAGTAAAAAAAAATGTTATACATACCAGATATAGAATGAATATATCTCTCGTCTTTGAACAAATTTTTGATGCTTAATCAAAGTCACCATTCAATTTAAAGCATTGTTTCTTTTGTCTTCAAAACCAAAAATTACATTTTTCTAAATTGAACTCTATATGTAATCGAGAACCTTCATTCATCCATTTCACCGTTTCATTCCAGATTGATTTACTGATTTCACAATTGTAAAAGAAATGTACAATATCTTCCAGCTCTTTGTTACAAAACGAACATTTATCATTACTCACTATTTTCATCTTATACAGTTGCTTGTTCAAATACAGAATCCTATTTACTATCTTATACTGAAAATATCTTTAACCGATATCTGGAGTAAAACGAAATATCATGCTATGATATTTCTGCATTCCTGGACATTCAGGGGTGTAATCTAAATGTCGTTCCCATTTCAGACATATTGAGTGCATACAATATGTTTGTCCCAGAACAGTTTTGTAAATATATTGACAACCTTTTATGTCATGTACTAATATGTTGATATGTGACGGCATTAGAGGATCTACTACATTTTTTCACATTTTTCAATATCCATTTGATATCGACACTTTATAGCTTCAGTTACAGAATAATAAGACAAATAATATAGTTTCAAGCAGAATTTTTGTTCACATTGCTCACGAGTCAGAAGTTTTCCCTTATCATCAATCAAATCATTTATACATCTCATGCCTTTTTCATACCAAGATTTTAAAAATACAGATTTGTTGTCCAATTTTGATTGAGCTATTTCTCCACAATGGATAAGTTAACCAGTCATCTCCCTTTATACGACTCAACAAAGACAGAGCGTGAAACACATGTCTCCAAAAAGGATTAGCAACTTCATGAGACAATGCCAAAAAATATTTATCACCAAACCCTACTACGAATAGTTTTGTTAAAAACGATTGCATTAAATGACTAACATCATTACATGTTCCTAAAACCATTCTTCGATACCATGTTAACTTTAGTAGCATGTTAAAAAACTCAATATCTGGCATTTTAAGTCCCCCTTCTTCATATGTGCCAACAACCTGTTTCCTACTAATTTTATCTGGCTTATTCTTCCATATTAAGTTAAAGAACTTAACTTTTATGGTTTTCATAAACTTAGCTGAAGGATCTGGGATTGCCATAAAAAGATGATTAAACTGTAGTAACAGTAATGATTTAGCAGCTGTAACTCTTCCAAGAACCGTAATGTTCCTTTTGATCCAAGAAATCATCTGGCGTTTTTCTTTGTCAAATTTTCTATCATAGTTATAACCTGGTATTTTGTCAATAACAACCTGAAAGTCAGCACCAAGATAAAGAAAAAAAAAATCATTATGTACAAAATTCACTTGTCTTCCTTCTCATTCTATATCTTCATTACATTTTGAGGCCCCAATTCAAATTGCGATGATAATGGTGATGATTTTGATATTAATGATGATGAAAATGCAAATGAAAATGAAAATATGTTGATGTAAATTATGTCTGACACAGAAAACTTATACAAGTATACGGGAGTTATAAAAATTGGACACGAGACGTCATTCGATTTCTTTATTATCTGTGCTAATCAAGTCTGTCGTACGTCAAGGCAATTAGCACATGCATCAGTGATTGAAACGTAATACGTGTACGGATTAAACGCAACGTGTGCATCCTTTAAAATTGGCCCTTTTCAAAAGTATTGTTCTCATCATCATTATCATTATTATTATTATTATCATCATCATTATGCCATTTCATTCTCAAATTAGGGCGTCAAAGACTATTCGCCTGTCTCTGACATAGCCGGCCTACGTCAACAAAAATGATCCCCCATGTATAACGGGCATCACACGTCGGCGTCTAAACACGATTATCAGATTCAAAAGCTTCGTTCGTGTGTGCTTTTCCATCGTTAATGTCATCGAGTGGTATTTCAGTGACGTCATCGAGTGGTATTTCAGTGACGTCATCTCTTTCCTTCTTCTTGGCCTCGTCAGCTGCTATCTTGTCATCGTATACTTTCCTAAAAATGAAAAGAGGTCGGAATTATGACTAAGATTTGCTTTGAAATCGAACAAGTATTTTCTCCTATAATCCTCCAATGTTTACTCTTGTAACATTCTTCATAATTATTCTACTGAGCAAGCGTTCCAAAAAATGTCATTAGAATTTAAAGCAAGAACAATATTATTTGTACAAGGAAGCGAGGGAGGGTCATAATGACATTGCAAAACAAACATGTTCTATCATCTCATGCATGTGCGCTTGCTAAATTTCCACACCGTTCGGAACACGAAATAATTTCCGTATAGACTCCTAAATGAAAATAACTAAAAGGATTCAATTTTTCAACATGTTTTACTCATGTAGGCTACTGTGAATACTATTGCTACATGTAAAAGACGTAGAGTATATGATCGCTGCGTATATTTGTTAATCAGAATCATCCCAAACACCACCGGCAACACAAATAGCCCCAACAACACCACTAGGAAGCAAACGAAGATATCTTTCCTCAAATACTAAGGCAATTGATAAACAGTTTCACGACACTGTCGAAAGAGTTAGATACTAATATAGCTTTCACATAATTTTTTGACAGGGGGACACTGTAGCATAGTGGGGAAACAGAGGTATATTCGTGAAGGCCCTTGACTCCTATACGAAAGGTCCTAGGTTCGATCCCGTCTAACACCACTGGAAGATGTCTGTTCCTCTCGACCCAGGTATATAGTAAACGGGTATCTCGCAATTAAAGATGGTGTGAAAAGGATTGCAGAGCCATCTTCAAGAACAGTAGGACTTTTAATAGGAATGAGGCTTCCCTGGGTAAATGAGATCATTATCATTACATTATTAACATGATCATACTTACGTTCCGAAAATCTCCCCTTCCTCGACGGTTTCGGGAAGTTTTTTGCCGCGCGTCTCGGGGAGGAGGAAGGAGAGGAAACCAGCCAAGATGGTGGTGGTGCCAAAGATGATGAGAGGGGCGGGGTAATAGTAGTCCCCCAGGATGAGAATCAAGGGTGAGATGATGGCCCCCACGCGTGCCATCATGGAACAGGTCCCGACACCGATGCTCCTGTGATTCCATAGAAGTCAAACAGATTGATCGGTTGCTTTTTATTCATATTCCATCCAAAATTAACAAAGCATAATACATTTTACAAAACATTAACAAAATTCTTTAAATAATCTATTCCCTCTATTCTTTTTTTTTTTTTTTGATTTTGTTTTGTGTTCTCTCTCTCTCTCTTTCTCTTTCTCTCTCTCTCTCTTCTTTCCTCTGATCTACTCTTCTCTTCATTTCCCTCCATATCTCCCCCTTTCGCATTCGATGGAGGCGGTTCACGTACCCCCCCCCCCCCCCCCCCCCCCGTGCAACCTTAGTTAAGTGTTACTTGATATACCTACCTGACAGGCGTTGGGAAACACTCTGCTGAGTAAACGTAGACTATGGCATAGGAAGCCGATATTGATGACTTCCCTGTCAGGGCAACCACTGTGTTCCAGGTACCAATGGCTGATAAAATCAAAAAAGACAACCTAGCATTATTAGAGTGGAATTATATACAGAATGCTCCATATGAATCTATGTTTGTCGTGATATTCCAGACCCGTTAGTTGATTATTTCGTTGGAGAAAAAAAAATGTACTGCTCTCATTTTTCAGTTGTACATAAATAAAAACAATTTATTAAGTTTTATAGGAGAAAAAATTAAACGATTTTGGTCGCGGAATTATTGCATTCACTTTTTTCCAGTAGCGGTGTTAGTAGGGGCCTGGGGCTACAAAAATACCTTTAGAATAAATCAAAGCGAGATACATGTAGAAAAATAATGCAAGAACCCAAAGGCCCTTAAAGCACAAAAGCCCCCGACATCCCCCCTCCAGAAAACAAAAGAATTAAATAATAATTGAATAAAAAGAATTATTCTTCTATAGAACTGGTGCGCCTGTAATTCCCTTTAGCGAAACCTTTGGGTCACCATGTTTTGGCCATTGTTCGTGAAAGAAAACCCCTATTCTGGGTGCTACACAGAACTAAGTTGGTTTAAAAAAATAAGATAAATAAACTAAAATTAAGTGAATGACTACGTACGTAGACCAATGTTGATGAGACATGCAGATCCACCAATAAAAAGGAAAGTAGCAATACTAGGGCGACGACCAAAGGATTCGATGGCGAATATGGCACAGAGGTAACCGACGATCTCGACTGCTCCAGACAGGAAGAAGTTCAGGTAGACATTGACCCCGAGGTCACCAGTACTATACGTCAATCCATAGTACACCATATTATTAACCATCCTTTGAAGAAAATAGAGGTAAGATTTTAATGAAAGTAAAGGCTTTGCGATACAGCTGTGAATTACTACAAATGCTATTATCATATATGTTCAATTCCTTTTGCAAAAGAGTATAGCTTGTATATAGCGCAGTTCAACCTAGGAACTCCTTGGTTCAACCCAGAATGGGTTCTTAAGCCCATCGCAAACACGTATTTCGAAAAATTAGCAATTGTATAGATAGGAAATCTTTTTTTTTAATTAAGTAATACCCTGAGTTAGCTTTTAAATAATGATAAATATATTAACAACGGGAATTTAGTTCATTAAACTCTCCAAGTCAGAATAAAAGCCGAATCAGCTTCGATTGATGGCAACGTTTAATGCAGGACGTCCCAAATGATCATCAGAATGGCTCACCAGTTATAGATGAAGTTGATGGTTCTCCAACGAAGTACGGGTGTTCGGAAGAGATCGAAGATGCCCGCTTTTGGCTCTAAACTAACGGCTTCCTTGACACGAATACGAATAAGATACAAAACTTTAGAATATATCATACACATCTTGAGATGCGGGGAATATGACAATCGTCATCAATAATTGAACGAATTCTTGCAAAGAATGATTTGCTTTGACATTTCACTATGATCTGTTTTCAGGCATATATTTTGATAGTAAATACTGTTGTTACATTGCGACAGGCAATATGATGGCACATAACTGATACACACCGAGACCGGCGACTAAAAACAGTCTGTATTTAAATCAGGATTTTTAAAAAATAAAGAAGTTCTCTGAAGTTCTCTGTACCTGTTCTTTTATTTCTTCTTCTGTGAAGAGCGGATCAGGTAGTTTTCTTTTATTGACCTTGGCGACTTTGTGAATTATCTTCTCGGCTTTCTTGCTATCACCATGAGACAGAAGCCAGCGCGCTGATTCTGGTACGAAGCTAATAAAATAAAAATAGAATAGATTCGATTCACTTTCACTCAAGTTTTTAAAAGCAAACTCCCACCTTGATTCAGTTCCGAAAATTCTTTGGAAAGCAGCAATAATACCCCCCAAAAATGCTCATCATAGCTACTAGAGGGTCATCTCAGTGTCATAATCAGAGGGCATGTTTTATTTTTACTACCCACCCCCCCCCCCTACGCCACTGCTGGTAGCAATTTGCTCTAAATAAGTGGTAAATAAATTGGTTTGAACTTTAAACGTCAAGCTCACTACAATAATGGAATTCGAAATAAAAACCGTAATGTTTTGTTGGACAATTTTCCAATCTGCTCATGATTAACAGCAGATGTAAATAATCATAGCTGAATGAAACACGTCTTTTAAAACCCAATTTACAAAATATAGCCACTCTGGTGGTGCCCCATTATGCGTCCTCTGCCGATTATGCGTGGTCAATAACGACAAGCTCTATTTGGTTAGGTCGTGGAAAATTACAGCAAAAGTACGATTGCAAGAATAACTGAAACAGACGTACGGCATGAGCAAGAAGAAAAGGAACAGTGGAGCAGAGATGATGAGTTGCAGAGTCCTCCAATACCGGACAAAGTATGCGATGATAGCAAGAAGCATGTAGGCGAAGGCGAAGAAAATCTGGATGGTAATACCGGCCACCGTCCGCCATTTTGGTCCAACAAACTCAACACCTGTAATAATGACATTTTAATAATTTATATTCAAAAGAAAAAAAACGTGAAATTTATTCCTTTTCACCATACATTCTTCAACGCACCTTACATATTTGTTTTAGTAGTCTAATATACAATGCATGTACGCAACTACCAAATTGATTGTTAATGGAGGGGCTTTTTGGTTTTGAATATAATTCTCACTATACTTAGAACTAAGCAGCCAATACTATGCCGAAATGAAACGACCAGGTTACCGGTACGCTACTTTTAACTGACTTCCTGTTCTTACGATTTTATTTTCCCCAAAAAACATCACAACTATAAGTCAACCAAAACTATCAATTTTATAGAGACAAGTATCGGAGTAATACGATCAAAGGGATCTTATTACAAGATGAATACTTTCAAGGTAAACTTGGGAAGATTCCGTGGAAACCAAAAATAAGGACAGGAAGATGCATGCATTTAAGCTAAATGAAGAAGAGAGAACGAGAGAAAGAGAGTATGGTAGGGAGAGTGAGACGTAAGAGGACAATCTATAGAGAGAGTGTGTGTGCGTGTGGGTGGGTGTGGATATAGAGAGGCGTAAATTAAATCAGTGGATTGAACCTAGTATCTGTCCCATTCATTTTTGTTACGATACTATTATGTTTACTTTATTTTTTTATCATTTTTATTGTACATTTCTGTTTTTATGCACATTTTATGTAAACATTGCATTATTGGTCCCTGGACTACTGCATTGTACATTGTATATGTTGATATTAATACACCGAAACTGAATTGAATGCTCAATGCGCATCAAAATCAGAAAGCATTTAGAACACAAACTTTGACTGATTAAAACAGATTATTATACCTATGATGAATGCAACTTGTAAAACAGCCTTGTTGCCAGCCGCTTGGAAGAATCGAAGGACAATATACACCCAGTAGTTGGGTGAGAAAGCGACGAGTACACCTACACCAGCCTGGACACCAAGGCAAATGAACAGAGTAGGATATCGCCCAATTCTGAGATGATCGGAGCAAATAAAAAGGAGAAAGGAATAAATAGATAAATAGAGAGATGAATATATATCTTTAAAATAAACAAATAACTAGGTAAATAAATGAATGAATAAAGAAATAAATTAATTATCATATTTTTTTTTAAAGAAAAAAAGAAAATTACTTTGGACTCACTTGTCTGCAAGGACTCCGAAGAAGATAGATCCAACCATATAACCAAAGTAAAACACAGACTGAGCGTAGTCGGGCAAGTTTTTCTTTTCACATACTAGATCCCACTGCAAAAAAAACACATTTGTAATAAAAGTTTATTGATAATAATTGGGCTCCATCTAACAGAGTTTGTAAGAGATCGTTGCAAACATGGCCAGAATTCTTTTTTGATTATGTTTTCTTATTGATTCTTTTTGTTTGTTCTGGAGACACAGCCGTTGCAGCGCATGCACAGGAAACAAAATTTGATTTAATATTACACAAAACCTAAACGGTCTTAAGAACTCATTGCAACCTTTTCAACAGGGTGTTTCAAGCTAATATTAACTATTATGATTTATTTATCATGAATTTATTTATCATGCCACACAATATTAAAGGCACTGTAAAGATGAATGGCCATAAAAGTATTCAATTCTTAATGGCGGTGTTAAAATGAGGAAGGCCATTCTGTTCTTCTGAGATAAGCATGCAAGGCTGCTGCTTTCTAAGCCAAATTATATGCAGACAATTAGAAAAAAAAACAAAAAAAACTGACATCTTGTATGATGGATGACTTCAGTTGACTCTTATCGTGTTCCCAACCATCTTGACACGGCAAAGTCTCGGCGGTACCATTCATCGACGAGTCGTATGCTGGGTCAAAATCCACGCCTTTGTGCGAAAGAAAATAAAAAATTAATCATTCATGTATATTTATCATTTATTTATTCATGTACTTATTTATTTATGTATTTGTTTATTTATTTATTCATGATATTTATTTACTTATCTGTTTATTAATTTTAATTATTTATTTATTCATTCATTCACTTTTTCGTTCATTAAAGTAGTTCGAAGTCAAAGATTGAAACCAGAAGATTGTGCAATTGCTTGTAAAGTAGTTAGACATTCTAATATTAATAAAGCGAATGAACAATTTTCATTCGCTTTTAAAGCCAATAAATAATAGGTAGTCTATATTGCAAGAGTTTCGAGCGTCATGCATGTGCTTGTACTGTGTATATGTATTATGTGTATGTGTATATAATTATGTGGCCGGCATTTATTTATGGAAAATAACTTTTATACTATAATTTTTTAATTTCTACTTTTACCTGTGATGTTATACATGTAGCATTGATCGTAGACGAGATTCCCGTCGTCCTCGTAACTGACTGGGATACTACCGTTCTTCTTCGCCTCCTCGCACTCCTCAACAGACAAATTCCACTCAGTGCAGTTCTCATCCTCCCAGTTTTCAGCCTGGTTTGTACAAAATAATGATAATGCTCTTGGTTTATATATAGCTCTTAATACACTGACGATGTCTGTAAGCCAGTTGTAGATGTATACATGTAATATGACCCCTTTCATTCAGGCTTGCCCACGTATAAATGTCTGCACATTCTCCGCTCTCGGGGAGCATTCTAGCATTCTTTTCTGTTCTATGACCTTTTTGGCCCTTTTTCCATCTCTCTCTTGGCTTAGAGACGGTATTTCGTATCAAGCGCTGTATAAATCCAGATTATTATTATTATAATTATCTGTAAGTTTCTCAATCTATCTATATCTTTCTAATCCATTTCTTTCTAATAAAAACAATTTCCTTTTCTCCTTACCGTACACCAATGATCTGTAGTCCCAGCTATAAAAACCTGTGTCATGGAGTGAAATGCGGTGGTAGCTGCCATCAAACATACGGCCAGATAAACGCGTCTCTGATAGGGACCGAACGAGCCCAGCTCACCAAGAATGTCGTCGAAACGCATCCTGAATGATGATCACTATCAAACAAACAAACGTACAAAAGACAAAATATTGTACTTTCATAGGGATTCAACTCTCAAGACTGATCCAACGAAGTATATACCCCCCCCCCCCCTCCTCGAATAAAAAAGGGGGAAGCAAGAGAACAAGAAGAAGAAGATCGAAGAAAAACAAGGCTAATACACCCTTTCAATTTCCTACCACTAAAACAAAATTAAAAGACAACTGTCCCTTGCCCCGTTCCCTCACCCTAGTAGGCTATATTCGCGTTGTCATTTTTCGTTCCCGCCCCAACCCAAACACCGCCGGCTTAATCGACTATCAAACATTCTGCACCCCCCCCTCCCCCTCTTGGTCTCATGGGCTGTTCTTCGCCTAGGATACTCCAAGTTACCGTTTTAAAGGCCGTGCACCCCCCCCCCCCATTCATAGCTCAATAGTGAATAAATTATGACGTGCCCCAGGGGCCCGTTTCATAAAACTTGTTATCTATAACAACTGCTAAATTTCTATGATAAATTTGCCCTCAGCCAATCAGATGCCAGGATTACAGTAGCTTATAACAGTAGCTTGTAGCTTGTTATTGATATCAAGTTTTTTTAAACAGGGCCCAGAACGTAACCTCGATACATATTTTCGTGTCAGCCGCCCCACCCCCCCCCCCTATTTGTTTTTGCTTGTGAGTCATTTTTTTTGTTTTTCATCCTCCCTTTTCCAAAGTTCCTGGTTCCGCCCGATGTCAGAGCTCATGTACAAAGCAAATACAAATTTAAAAAAAAAAAAAAAAAAAAAAAAAAACTGAAGATAATATGCCTACATAATATATTTCAACATTGTTTACTGATGACTACGTGATACTTATGGCTAACAACATACCCTAAAATGAACCCACGTTTTTTGTTGAATCCAGTGGTAGGTATAACATTACCATTACCATTTGTTTAAATATGAGAAAAGAGGTACATTGTTTAATTGCTATTTTGTTTGTTTGTTTGTAATTTCGAAAAAGCTAGAAATTTAGTGGGAAAGGGTCATAATTTTACGAAGTTCGCAAACATGATTGTGAATTCATACTTACAATGCTTTCATGAAAATAGGGTACTTTTTGTGAATATATGTAAAGGATAAACAAAAAATTGCTATTTATGTAAATCCTATTTCATACCTGCTTTCAAGCAGAGAGAGAGGTCATATTTTGTGGAAACGTTTCTGAAAGTATGCAAAATACTAGTATAGGGGGATATTTTCGACCCCTCTGGCGATCATGTGATGTGCATTTGATACTGAATTGACACCATCGAGTCGTTGAACTGATAATTGTTATCTATAATGACTGGCTTACAGGATTCTCAAGAGCACTTTGAAGGATGCCGATCAGTGGCGGACCAAGGATTCTCTTGCAGCTATATAGGGAGGGGATATATTATAGATAAATTTGAGTTCTGGTTTAAAAAAAAAAATGAATTGTCACAGAATCAAAAGAAACTTACACTGAATGTTCAAGATTACAAATAAATCTCATTTGCCAAACAATTTTGGTAGAAAATGTATACTGGCTGAGTAATTAGCATAGAAAGATAGGGAAATCTTGTTAAGCAGCCCCGACAACATGTGTGTAGTCCCATACACATCTTTCTGTGTACAGTGCTTGTTACCAAGACAGCATGGGCCAAAGTTCTTATGATTCTCACTCCAGAACCTTGCAGCACACACCAATAATTACATGCTACTTGATCAACTTTTTCTGATTCAATCCACATCTTTCTTTCACAATGCAATCGCATGACCAGAACTCCATTTTATCTTTAAGTCATAAGACAAAGATTTCTGACAATCAAATAAGAAAACGAAATTGATCTCACGGACCTCACCATCTTGACCATTGCTGCATGAAATTAATGTATTGAATGATTACATAATTTTCATGAGCACCTATCCAATATTAATGTCTGTGTTTTTTTAATAATAAATTTAGTATAAATGACCTTTGCTCATTACTTTATAGAAAGGTTTTATTGAACAAATTCCATCGTCGCAGTCTTACAACTGAATTGCCATTGGAATACAATTGAAAAGTACATGTATTTACAAGTTAAAAGTACAATAGTCTTAGGACTATGACATAATATATATATATATAAAAATATCATATTAAAAACTCTATATCAACTTCAATGAGTATGGAGAGAAAGAAGGGATGAATGAGGAATATGAGCAAGGAGCAAGAATCAACTAAAGGTGAGAGAAGAATGAAAGGAAAAGAAAGGAAGGGTAAGTAAGAGGAATATAATTATCAAGAAAGATGAGGTGAAAAACATGTGTAATGAGCCTTCTATTAATTAGCTTTAAAATGTACAGATCCTCATGGCGTGTATGAACCACCAATATATAAAACGTATACAAATTATTTAATTAAACGTTTGACAGGAAACATCAGGTATTGTAGTATTGTAGTTATGAAACTCTCCAGGTGGTCAAATTCAAACATAGTACAATTGTGAAATTAAGTATGATCAAAGATATCAGTCGTGCTAAACGTACAGTAAATTAAAAAGACTCGAGGCTAGTGAATAGAAAGTCCCGAAATAGGCGGAGGAGGACATTAGGATTAGATTACAGTGTAAAGATTAAAGCGTTCCAGTATGAATTTTAAAAAAATCTGCATATCATTTATACTGTCCATTTCTTTTGAGATTCATTTCATTATAATAACTATTTAAATTTGAGTGTAATCAATAATCATAATTTAGTCTTTCATCAAATAACGATTCACTCGGAATGACGATTTATTAGACTAACAAGAAAAGGCAGAGCACTGTTTCTGAACCTTTCCGTTCTGCATTTGAACTGTCTCAGTCTATTGCTACGTCGGAGACGTTGGTTTTGTGCTTCAGGCAACCAGTCTTTGAAGTTTCTTTGAAGCGATTCTGCAAATTTTAAGGATAGTTTGTCCCTTCTTTCGCTCAGTGTTGCAAGCTCAGTCTTCTGGAGGGAATTTCTGTAGCTCACATATTGGTCAGAGAGAATTATGCGAAGAGCCCTTTTCTGGATCATCTCTATGTCATTGCTTTGCTGCACCAGAGTGCCGCAGAGGTACGCAATACTCCAATGTAGGTCGTATGTACGATGTATACTGTCAACAAATCTTTCCTTGGAGCATTTAAGCGCTTCAGAGATCTAATCAAATAGAATTTCCTCGACGCTTTCTTGATGATTTACAGTTTACGAAATGGATTATTGGATTCAAAGGACATCGGATTAAATCTAGATAACGCAGAATTAGAATTATTTTCTTCTTTTGCAATGTCGCTTACTCGGACACTGATTCCACATGATCTGACCCACTACGGAGGGGTCAGGAACCCCCCCCCCCCCAAAAAAAAAAAAAAAAATCGCTTTGAAAGAGAAAAAAAGTTCATGCTGATTAGAAAACTGTCGCTCAATTATATAGGTACTGCCAAATGAAGAAAAATAAGCATAATTCACATATTTTAGTCATGTAAGGGGGGGGGGGGGGGTCATGTTTTATTTGGGCATATTTTGTGTGAAGGTTATCCGATCAAGTATAAAGGGGTTGTACCGAAGGTTATATTTGATAATTTAATGAAATTAGCAGATGTGTCGTTTTACTAACTAGTACATAATGGTCTTCTTATAATTATGTGTAAGTACAGAGAAGATATTCGCCAAGGCAGAATTGTGTATTTAGTTAATTTCATTACATTTGAACCGATACGTCCAGCCATAAGTTAGTTCTTACAGTCTGCACTTGTGTTGAGTTCACACTAATTGTTGTTTAGGTGTAGATTTAGTCCCCACAGGGTGTGGAATCGATCATAAAGGGTGTACAATTCAAAAACCAGTTGAAACCAGTACATTCAACTGGTTTTTAATATGGAAATGTAAAACAACGCTAACTGGGACTAGTTGAAAAACCAATTGAAAAACCAATTGACATCTGAGACCAGTTTATATTTCCAGTTGATTTACCAATAGTTTTACCAGTTTCTAGTAGATTTACCAGTTGAGACCAGTAATCAACTGATATTATGATAATCAATAATCCATATTGGCATGATCTGGCCACGAACGAGACCATAATTAAATAACTCTTGCAATTATGCCATCACAAAGATCATTTGAAGTGGATGACAGATAAGTATTGTTTGAAATAAATCTGCAGAGTTCGTATATACAAAATGATACATATTGTTTCCTGGTTAGTAATTACATATATCAATATATTTATTTTTACGTCTTAGATTAGATGAAAAAGATGGTCAGAAATATATAATATATTTGTCAATGCTTGAATAAGAAAATATAAATCACAAAGTAGATGTGCATTGTCACATTTGCTTGACAGATCATGATAATTACATTTTCTGTGAAAACATGCAAATTAATCATGAATATGCATAAACATACATTCAACTGGTTTTTCAACTGGTAAATCAACTGATATTCTATTGTTTTCAAATGGTAAATCAACTGGTAATCATCTATTGGTTTTCAACTGGTAAATCAACTGGTAATCATCTACTGGTAAATCAACTGGTAATATGCCCAGGTCGAAATTACAGTTGATACCAGTTGAAACGAGTAAGGATTTCCAACTGGTATCTACTGGTTTGAACTGGTTTTAACTGGTCTCAACTGGTTCCAACATGTACCAGTTTATACCAGTTGATAAAATTTGGAAACCAGTAGAAATACCAGTTGACAGTACGGTAGTAGGCCTACAACTTTCCCCAGTAAATGCCACAAGAAAGTTGAATTCCTCCGGTTAAATTTAAGATGGTGTAGGTAGCTTAAGGGTTTGTTAAAACTTCGATGAAAGCTTGGTAAAGCTTTCATTTTGTATTTTCATATCCCACTTTATTTTTCCCGTATTCAAATTGTCCAAACGGGGGTTATTTCGGACTGTTACGAGAGGGCATGATTTGATAAACCAAAGATGAAGATCAAGGCATCTTGATGCGTCATCTTACTTGAAAACTGAAAAATAGTGTCTTAATTACGATCAAAATACTTTAGTGAAAAGAGGAAGGAGAAGAAGAAGAAGAAGAAGAAGAAGAAGAAGAAGAAGAAGAAGAAGAAGAAGTGGGAAAAGGAGGAGAAGGAGGAAGAGGATGAGGGAAGGAAGGAGAATAGGAAGAAAAGAAGAAGAGGCCGAGAAGAAGAATATTCCATATTGATGATCAACATTCTTATTTGTTATTCTTTACTCGATTGTCTTGATGTGGTTAGATGATCGTCCGCCTAATAATGCTATACCCCCCCCCCCAAAAAAAAGGATTCGACTGATGAAATTGAAACAATATAACAAAATAATTCTGAAGTTACAGAAGCAGAAGACACACATGATTTAAATATGTCGCATACAGTATGAAAAACGTAATAAGTGTACGGTTTCTGAAAAATTAATATCTGACAAAATTGCAAGAAACACAATATTATCTTAAAATTTTGAGGAATTATACCCAATGCGTTAAATGTTGAAAATAATGAAAGATTGTCACTGAGAAAATAATAAATCAAATACAAAGCATTTAATTATTTTCATAGATTTGAAAAAATATAAATGATCAATTACGTAATTTCGAATGCAAACTTTTACTAGCAAACTTCAAATTTTGTCTAAAACTACAAGCTAGATGCAATATTGAAATTGAGAAATATAGAATTTTTTTTGTTTAATGTGAGAAGAAAAAAAACTTACCTGCTTTTACAGGTTTCAGCAGCTCAAAATTTAGTATGTCGGTAAATGCACAACGGACTAGTCTGACAGGATACGCTCAAATCATGGCAATAAATTATAGAAGGGATTATCGGCATAAAGATTCAAAGTTCACCTGATAAGAAAATGTCCATAATTATAACAGAACATTGTCCTGTTGATTAACTTCCGTTCGCTCAACTCCACAAGGCGGGATCCAGGGGTAGGTATAAATGGGCGGACTGGGGCCGCGACCCCCCCCCCCCCTCCCTACCAAACCATTGAAGAAGAACAAATGTTGGTGCCAAAGGGATGCTGGCGCCGGGATTTTAGCCTACAAGTCTCAAAAGTTTCATTAAATAAAACAAATTTTCAACTTTATGGACGGTAGAGGCATATTTTGGCAAATCATAATAGAGGAGGTACTTGATCGCCCCTTACCCTCTCCCTGGAAAATCTTCCTCTGTATGTACATTGTGTTGGGGAAATATTCCCTTTCCCTCTCCTCTCGAGAGAGAGAACCGGCGAGAGTTGCAAACTTTATATTCAAATTTCATATTGGGGAAAACATTATTTCTGGGAAGAAAGGCGTGAAACATTGTATTGAATTTTTGACACAAGTTGCTGAAGATGCTGATAAAACGGTGATCAAAAATTTCCGGCTCTAAAATAGCTATAGCGCTACCGATTGTGTTGCTCACAACGTTCTAGGAATCCCCCCTTCTTTTGGACAATGTCAAATGTACATTATTCAATCTTGCCACAGTGACACCGGAGCCACACCGAGGCTTGAAACCATGACCATCGCAATATAATCGTATCTCCAGCAACAAAAGTGTTTAATCCACTAGCTCGGCGGCACCAACCCTCTTATTTCTTCTGACTACCCCCTCTCCTCCCCCCCCCCATGTGTCATGGTGAATCCCTCCTTCTAATTCTGACCTTCACAACTTCACAACTTCGTCGAGAGTAACTATCCAATTGGGAGGGGGCGGGCCGGGCCACGTGTCGGAACAGTTAATGATGTCTGAAGTGTTGGAGCCAGCAAAAACGAAAAGAAAAAACACACATTTTGTCGACTCAGCCATATAGGGTTGAGAACAATCAAAACCTTTATCCACAAGACAAATAAAATGATAAAAAATTGTTTTTTTTTTGTTTAGTTAGAATAGAATAGAATTTATTGACTCATTCGACCCCCTTCTGGGGTATGAGAGTACAACACATGTAGATGTCATGATAATGATACATAATAAAGAATACAAACATAGCTTAATAATACAAAGAATACAGAATACAACAAAACAACAATATATAAGTATAACGATAAATAGGAATGATCTAAAGCTAGCCTATGCTAAACATAAATACAATATTATACAATATGGCAAGCATACACGAAAAAAGGAGAATACCACATGAACAATCTGAATACAAACATGAAGAAAAAGAAAGATAAAAATAAATAAAAATACGTTATTGAACTCTGAACTATAAGAAATTATAAGTTTCATTTAGTTAGTTGTTTAGTTTGTTGGTCGGTTGGTCGGTTAGTCGGTTGAGACAATTAATTCTGAATGGGGGAGATATTAGGTTTTGGAACAGAGCTGTCAAAATAATCTGCAAATTAAAAAAAACAGATGGAAGCTTATTAGAATTTTTAACCCGACAAATTATAAGGGTTGAGAAACCCACAAGACACTGAAAAGAAATAAAAGGAATGTTATTTGGATGTTTTTTTTTTCTCCTTTAATATCTCTTTGTTTCAATTTTTTGTCTTGTTCTTTTGGTTGGATGGTCAGTCGGTTGATAATTAATTGTTTGTTTGGGGTTCGTTTTTAAGACAACTAAAGATCATCTTCCCCCGCATATAGACTAGTACACAGCTAATTTATACTCCATCATAACAGGAATACTTTTTCTTTTATAACTTTTCTTTTACCAACATCGTAAATTTAACAAGTGATCATAACAAGCAATCATTCAAGCGAACTCTATCGGAGCTGAGCAGAGTCGGTCAATTTCTGGTACATTGCACTGAATTTTATCAACATGGATGTCAGAACAGTGCTGCTTGATTTTCGGGTGGAATCAGAGATACTTGATAATTTGTGTAAGTAAAAAACTTGGATCATATGATCATTTTACAGACGTCGGTTACAGCTCGGCGCTCAGCGCAGCTCAGCTGGCACTGGACCATGCACTGATGCACGTGCTAACATGCTGGTAGTACGCCGAGTAATGCTATGCTACACACACTTGACTCGCAACAAGGCAAGCCACGCCCCGTGCCTGGAGCGGCTAGCGGCGACGCGGGCCGGCGAGCTGTCGGAGTAGAAGGCAGCTAGCAGTAGAGTGAGAGATGTCAAACAATTTCTGATGTATATTATTTATCATGTCACTAAGTGGTATATGAATAATGACATTCTTGTAGACCAATGAGATGACAGTTACGTAATTATGACTTTCATAAAGTTCTGTTGATTGTCATTTACACATTAATTGGGCTTACATCGAAAGGGAGCGGTGCGGCGCAGTGAGGTGAGTTCAACGCACCCATTCGAGAAAAGCCCCCCTCCGCTTTTCTCTAAAGGGTGCGTTGAGAACAGAGTACCGTCTTAACAGTAACGCATCCTTTCGGGAGGGTCTTTTCTCGAAAGGGTGCGTTTTTATCTCGAAAGGGTGTGTCGACTAGTCTTTCACATCAGTCGTTGAGAATGTTTAAGGAATAGAAATTTTGTTTTATGAATTGAAATACGGTAATCAAAATTGAACTACTTTTTACGTTGTCTTGCAGATCAGGCGAAAATGGGCACCGATCAGATTTTAAAGGGGTAGTCTATTTATCGGAGGTGAAGGAGGCACTTATCTGAAGTGAAAAGGAGTAACGCCTTGAAACCTGAAAAGGGTCAATTACCAGAGAAGGATAGTTATGAGAAGGGAAAGGGGCTCTGTTTTTAATGGGGCACTTATCATTTGGAAAAGGGGCACTTAGTAGAAAGGAAAAGGGACACATGTGAAACTATAAGGTGCGCTTATCCAAGTTAAAATGGGGCAATTATCAGAGGTGAAGGGGGAACTTATCAAAAGTAAAAAGAGGCACTTCTCGTACCTGAAAAGGAGCACTTAATAGAGATTAAAAAGGGCACTTATGAGAATGGAAAATGGAGAGATTATCGCTGATAAACATACCGGTAGTTTTTCTCAATAAACACTGTTTTCCAGTCGAAAAAAACAGTGTTTATCAGCGATTACACTATTTATCGGCGATAATAGTGTTCATCTGAATTATTGGACAAATGGCGCGCCATAGCGTGCGTGTACGTATAATTACGTTGTATGAGGACCCCTTATTTTAACACGTACGTACTCAAACCTCCCTGAACTCCTTGTGGCGCTTACTAGACTTCTCTATTCTCTAGTAATAGTAAACTGAAACAAGTAAATTTACAGGTGAAAATGGCGGCTGGCAAGCTCCTTTTTTTCAGCAGTGAGATGAAGGAGATGACAAGGACATCCCATTATGAAAGTATCTGGATTTGTCTTCTTCATAAATGCAGCTACCCCATTGTGCTTTCCCATCATTACAGCTGCATTATCTGCTGCAAATCAAATGACATTTTTACATGGAATCTTATTTTCTGTGATGAAATCATCCAAAAGCTCAAGGATGTTTTTTCCCAGTAGATCGTTCCCTTGTCAAAGATATTTTTCCCAGTAGATCGTTCCCTTGTCAAAGATGTTTTTCCCCAGTAGATTGTTCCCTTGTCAAAGATGTTTTTCCCAGTAGATCGTTCCTTTGTCAAAGATATTTTTCCCCAGTAGATCGTTCCCTTGTCAAAGATGTTTTTCCCAGTAGATCGTTCCTTTGTCAAAGATATTTTTCCCCAGTAGACTGTTCCTTTGTGAAGGAAGTTTTTCCCAGTAGATCGTTCCCTTGTCAAAGATATTTTTCCCAGTAGATCGTTCCCTTGTCAAAGATGTTTTTCCCCAGTAGATTGTTCCCTTGTCAAAGATGTTTTTCCCAGTAGATCGTTCCTTTGTCAAAGATATTTTTCCCCAGTAGACTGTTCCTTTGTGAAGGAAGTTTTTCCCAGTAGATCGTTCCCTTGTCAAAGATATTTTTCCCAGTAGATCGTTCCTTTGTCAAAGATATTTTTCCCCAGTAGATCGTTCCCTTGTCAAAGATGTTTTTCCCAGTAGATCGTTCCTTTGTCAAAGATATTTTTCTCAGTAGATCGTTCATTTGTGAAGGAAGTTTTTCCCAGTAGATCGTTCCTTTGGGAAAGATATTTTATCAAGTAGATTGTTCCTTTGTCAAAGATATTTTTCCCAGTAGATTGTTCCTTTGTTAAGGATGTTTTTCCCCAGTAGGCGGTTCCTTTGGGAAAGATGTTTTTCCCAGTAGATCTTTCCTTTGTCAATGATATTTTTCCCAGTAGATCTTTCCTTTGTCAAAGATGTTTTTCCCAGTAGATCGTTCCTTTGTCATAGCGATTTCCATCAGGAAACGACTTCAACATCAAGTATCTCGCAATTACTGGCTACAGGTGCTTTTGTGTCCCACGACCTGAACTACCATCTGTAGACATAGAAAATGGTGCTTCTCTGATCTTCTACAGGATTTTCGCTATAATGATGATGGATTTTGTTGTTGATGTCCTGACTAGCGATCACTTGACGGAGCTGTCGCGGTGAACAACCTCCATAGTACTATATACACGCATGGTTGCATGGTATCCACGCACATTCACAACAACAAAGCGCTATGCATCGCCACTTATATAATCTGGATCCGCTACTGTTTCTAAAGCTAAACATATAATAAAAGAGAGAAAATGAATGCCTTTTAAGTATACCAGACAGTTCTTTTGATTTTTCTTTAAGTTCCATTAAAAAATTCCTTGACACTATCAAATATTTGTATTTCCCTTTTAAAGGAAACCTCACCCCAAGGAATAACTAGTTTCTCTGAGAGATTATTGTATTCTTTCCTATTTATCTTCCAAGGTTCCCTACCAATGCATATGAGAGAGAAACAAACAAGATATTCTTAGCACAATGTACAGTTCCTCAGCATGTCAAATATTTCTCCTGCACTAATAAAATTGACCCATTGCTTTGGAAGTAGGAGTTGATACCAAGTTTTCAAGACAATTTTTTTTTTGAGTGCTTTGTAGTTCAAAAGGCTACAATTTGGGGGTTTACAAGATAAAGTGACTATTTAGATGTAGATCTAAATATCTATTTCTCCTTTTTTAATTATCTACTGTGGACCAATCCTTATTAATCCACACATCACCTGTATGGTACGAAGTCCCTTAGATCAGGATATCTGTGGATAAAACCTTATTCTAGTATATGTACATGTCCCTAATTGATCTGTCATGTTTGTTGTCATGGCAACAACCTTTTTTTTAATCCCAACTCCCGCAGGTCAGACAGGGTCAAAGATCAATGAACAGTTGAAGGGTGCTCTCTCATCAGTTGGCCTTGGTGATAACATGCAGGTCCATTCCAGCGGAGAACAGTTTTTCATCTGCAGTTTTGGGCACGCAAGGTAAGCTTCAATTAACGCTGTAGTTGTCAAACCAGAACCGCTGTTAAACTCACTAGACTGAAGGGCTTGAGCCAAGTCCCAGACATCCCAGACTTGAACAAAAATTCTGTCAGCCTGGTAACCAGAGGTCTGGGCCCCGTCTTACAAAGAGTTAATATCAATCGCAACCATGTACATACAGGGTGAGAGATAGGAGACTGCAAACTTACGATTGATTGGAGGACTTGCGATTGATCCAAATCCTCATGACCTTGAAGAAAAAGTTGACCTTTTGGCATGGATGCTTCTGAATGCTCAACATTTATTTGTCACTGTCCTGATCTTGAGACTTTAACCTCTCTACATGTACACGTACATGTGTAGGTACATGTAGTTACTATCTAACAAATGTGCAATCTTCAGTTGTCTGACCTTGTGAACTTGACCTTTCATTTTAAATATCACTCTGATTCTATCTCTATCCAAAGTAAGGCAATGTTCAGCAGTCACCTCATGATCTCAAACATTGGTTTATGTTGCAGTACTCTGATTATGAACTTCCATCCCAAATCCTATCTGTGTGCAATAACATGTTGTCAACATTATGCCACTTTGACGTTTATTTTTGTCAAGTTGTGCCATTTCTAATTCTGATTCCATCCCTTTTTCAATCAGGAGTGCAATGTTCAGCGGTCACCGCCCCGACCTTGTGACCCTGACCTTCCAGTACGACAGAAAGGCCAAGCCATCTCCCACGAACGAGAATCTTCCTGTGCTAGAGGAAGGTAGCATGGAAGCTTTGAAGGAGGAGCTGAAGAAAGTGTTCAACCCAAAGAAATGTAAACTGTGAGTGGGTTAAAATGCCATTGTAAAGTATTTGTTGGGTAGTTTGCAGGCTCCCACCCTTTTCAGTCGTTGTACTTAAAAGTTTCTACGCTATAGCTGCTATTTTTTGACACAACCCGAGACTGACAGATCTAGGCTGAGTTCAAGGCTATTTGAAATGCGGTGGAGCATCAAGTTAGAGTCTATGCTTGCAGACTATCTTATCTGTTGAGGGCCTGTCCAGATTCAGCCCAAGAAGACACACACCATAAGTGTACGTCTTTAGGACCTTCTGACGGCTATTTAGATGGTTCACTAGAATGACCGCTCATAAGACCAACATTGTCACTCGGTCAACCTCCAATGTGGAATTTCCAAATTTGTTGGCCTTCGAGCCACTTTTCAGAGGGTTTACTAGATTTACAACCGACAAGACCATTAATATCATTCGATCTTCAATTTTAAATATCAGTCTTGATGACTTTCTAGACACTTTTCAGATTTTATCTTTTCAAAATTGACATAATCTCAATCTCATCATCTCTATACCTTGATTCTCAAACTAAAACAGGTTTCCGGAGATTTCGAGAGGCGCGGCCGTCGATCGGTACATCCCAACCGCAGACAGAAGGCTTGTAGAATATGACTTTGATGCTGCGACGTTTGAAGCGGACTCTGAATATCAGAACGTCAAGATCATGCATTCACCGCAGTACGGTAACATGCTGATTCTTGATGACGATCCAAGTAAGTGCACGGTGTTGTGGGTAGCATTGCAATTGCAATTATCTTCATGACGTTGTCTGAAGCAGCAGGGGGAGAAATGCATGGGAGCGATACCTACTTTAGCTGTAGAAAGCTCAAAAATAGCTCTGTTAAAGGGATCCGGTAACTTTGTCTCAGATTTTGAAATTAAATTCTGGATTTAGCTCATGCTGCAATGATAATTTTAAACCTTTAGGTCAGTCAGGAACCCCATGACTTTTACAAGCCGATCGCCTGTCTGAGTATCAAGATATTTCTGATTGGAATTACAAATTTGGAAAACCGTTTGCCAAAGCAGTCACTTTTTTGAGGCACTTCTTGATCACTTTGAAGCGCAATTTCTTTAGGGCTTCAATATTACACCATATCACAGACACTGATAATACGTCGGGCCGTGTATCTCAGATTTATCATTGTTAAACGATCCCTTTAATAAAGATGGCTCGTCCCTTTTGCAGAACTAAAACCCTGAATCCAGTTGTATATTGAAGAGGTCTATTATTAGGAACTTCCCACAAAAAGAAAAAGATGGAAACTGGCTTTCAACAATTTGATTTTGAAAATTTAATTCCAGATATTTAGTTTCTAGACTTGCAAATTATTGTAAATTATTACAAATTAATTTGACTGTTATATCTGTTGATTTAAAAATATCTACCTCTGAGGCATTATCAAAATAGGTCTTCATTTCTTACAAAGAAGTTTCAGAACCAATGACTGTAAATTTCACTTCCGATACCATATGTTTTAAACACTAGGCAAGTTTCATGGAGTTTGCACAAGTCTGCAAAAGGAACTTATTGCCACTGTGAGAAAATCCTCATTACCAAGTCCCTCAGAGAGGACTTTAAGAAGTCCGTCCCCTGGTTGCTTATTTAAAGGCATCATTTAACAATGTTAAATCTGAGATGCACGGCCCTATGTGTTATCAGTGTCTGTGATATGGTGCAATATTGAAGTCCTAAAAAATTGCGCTTTAAAATGATCAAGAAGTGCCTCAAAACAGAAAAAAATGTTTGAAGGACTGGTTTAACCATACTTGTATTTTCCTATGGACTGTAGTGTTATGAAAAAGTGTTATGAAAACTGCAAAATTTGGTTTCGATTTCATATCATAAATATCTTGATAATCAGACAGGCGATTGGCTTGTAAAAGTGATGGGGTTCCTGACTGACCTAAAGGTTTATAATTATCATTGCAGCATGAACTAAATCCAGGATTTTGTATCAGAATCTGAGACAAAGTTACCGGATCCCTTTAAAAGCATACACATGCTTTTTTAGCAGTCCGGTATTAAACAAACCATCAAACATTCACTTTTCTGTCTCTCTTTCTCCGAACCCTATTACAGATCTAGCTGAGAGTGATCTTGCTTACACCCAGGCCATCACCGGTAACGGGAGAGAGTCCTACACCGGTAAAGAGGTTCTCATCCTTGGGGGCGGAGACGGGGGCATCCTACATGAAGTCCTCAAGGAGAATCCTAAATCCATCATTATGGTGGAAATATCCTTTTAATTACATCAGAATAAAAGACAGGCACTACAGCTGGACTGCACTACTTGTAGCTATTTGCTCCCTCTATATAGAAAACAATGCCCAATCGGTGACCATTGGTCCCCCATGATCCTCTTTTTCTTATGTTAATTGAGAGCTGAGTTGATGAGATAGCCACCTGTCAGTGACCTTCCTGGGTGGTCTAATCCCTCCTAGCCAAACTAGTACAGATGGGCTTTAAGGGATAGAAAGAGTAGGAGGGACCAGGGGTGTGGTAGTTAGGGGCTGTATAGGTGTCTTCATTTTCAGAGGAGAAGACGGGGGCATCCTACATGAAGTCCTCAAGGAGAATCCCAAATCCATCATTATGGTGGAAATATCCTTTTAATGATATTAAATTGGTAATATGTGCCACCCTGTATAAGTATCAGAAATAGATTAATAAATAAAAAATTAACAAATGACAGCTTAAATAAAAGACAGGCATTAGGGATGGAGAGAGTAGGAGGGACCAGGGGTGTTGTAGTTGAGGGTTGTATAGGTGTCCTTATTCTCAGTGGTGGAGACGGGGGCATCCTACATGAACTCCTGATCAAGGATTAATCCTAAATTCATCATTATGGTGGAAATATCCTTTTAAAGACAGCAAAAAATGAAGGACATGCATTTACGGATGAATAGACTAAGAGGGACCAAGGGTGTGGTAGTTAGCGGTTGTATAGGTGTCCTCATTCTTTAATATGTAATTGTTTATCATTGTATTTTGTTTGTTATAGCGCTTGGAGACTTCGGTAGTAAGCGCTATAGAAGCGCTGTTTTTATTATTTTTTATTATTACATGAACTCCTGAAGGAGAATCCTAATTTCATCACTATGGTGAAAATATCTATTAAATAAAAAAAATAAAAAAAATACAAGTTAGACATGAGATTCTTCCTTGGAACTTTATAGAGATGTGGTTGGCATGAGGATAAATACACATCACACAACGCACACACCCACAGCACACAGCACACACAACCATATACCATTACATGTCATTAAAACCTAATTAACACTAACGTTGCCCAGATGTTCCCAATTTTCATTCTCATTCAATCTTTCATATTACAGCTAAAACAGATGGTGTTTGAAATAATGACCATTTATTCATATGCAGTTGCATTCATAATATCTGTTTGCCAATTAGTCAGATGTTAAGAATTAAATATGGATGCAATATTTGTGTATTACTCATAACATATCAATCTAGAATGACTGATTATGGAGTAAATTTGGTGAGAGAACTTAGAGAACTGAAGCACAGCTAGCTTTACAGCTCAATTATGTGAAATGAATATTAAGTAAATAATTCCCTACTCAACAAATTTGGTTCATTGCATGCAAAGGACGGATTATACATGAACATATAATTATGAAAAGAAAAATGCAAACACAGCAGAAAAAGAAGTTCAGCAATACAGTGAAAAAGCATGTACAGTAGGACTCATGTGTCCCAGGTCTAGTAATCACAACAACTATAGCAGTGTTAAAAGCACTTTAATTAATTGCAAACTAATCAAAGCACTGTATCAGCAAAAACAGAATGTACATGATTCACATTTACATACTATGGGTGCGTTTATTGACCAATTTTTTGCCTAGAATTGAGTTTCTCAAACGTCTTTCAGGCAAATTTTTAAGGTGATAAACGCACAGTCTTTTTCAAACATCTTTGGATATGGGCATATTGTAACGCCGAAAAAAAAGTGTGTTTTGAATGTGACATACAGCCAGAATCACGTTTCTGAGACATGATAAACGCGAAGCTGTTTTGAACCCCACATACAAATCGGACCTTCCCAGGCTAAGATAGCACGCCATGTGTTGTGTTATGTTGTTGTACAAGCATGTGTGTGTACTCGTCCATCTAGTTGACCTCCGGCAATCTGTCTGCTTCCCAGGTCAAACGGCGCGAAGCAGATGCGCAGAGACAGGGCCTTAATTAATTTTGAATCGTGAAGAGACGATAAACGCAACATCCCGCAAATCACGTTCATATAGTGGGGTTCGATATGTACATATCTAGTGGCAAGACACGATAAACGCATGAAGAGATATAGCACAACAAGCAATTATAATAAACACACTGTTACAATATTAAAGGGAACCAAAACCTTCATACTAAGTTACTTTTATTGTAAAGTTTAAGATATTTGAAAAATATCAGTGAAAATTTGAACAAAATCAGGCAAGGAATAAGGAAGTTAGAGCTTTTTGAAATGACTAGTCACTAGAGGGCGGTATTCAATTTGACGACATCGTCTGTGGACAACTCTCTATAACTTTTGTACATCAATTTTCATGTTTTTCCTTCTTTCTTGTGATTGAGATAATCTACTCCCCTGTAAGCAATATATAAAATACAAAATGGTATTCTACTTCACATGTTATGAAGTCGAATCAAGAACACAAATAAATACAAAGAAAATGAAAAAATTGTGAAATTTTATGTACAAAAGGCATGGAGAGTTGTCCACAGATGATGTCATCAAATTGAATACCGCCCTCTAGTTACTAGTCATTTCAAAAAGCTCCTCTTCGGTGGTAATTTTTAGCGACGCTTTGTCAGCTTTACAAATGATCGATTCATACTTTATTAGATGTGCTATTGTAAATGAAATTTTATCCATAATTAATATTTTGCAGTTTAAGGATGTTTGTGTTGCTTTTGAATGGATTCCGTCACATTGCGATATTAGGGGCAATGAGATCGTAGATCGGGCTGCCAAAAAAGGAGCCATGAAAAGGTGTATAGACATAGTTATACCAAATACAAGAAGTGAATTGGCAGCCTCTCGTTTGATCCATTATAACAAATTATGGCAAGCAGAATGGGACAATGCAGAACACGGTAGATTTTTATATGCTTTGCATAGCGACGTTTCAAAGCCCATACATAGACAAGGGCTATCTCGCAGAGAAGAATGCTTGATACAACAACTAAGAGTAGGTAACTGTAGTTTAAATTATTACCTTTTTCAAATTAACCAACACGATACTGGTCTTTGTGAAGTTTGTCAAGAAGATGAAACAATTAAACATTTTATTTTCTATTGTACAAAATACGACAAAGATAGACGTCTCTTAAAAGAAAGGATTAAATTGAACAACCCCAATCTGAAACAATTATTGATGTCTAACCCAATTTTTACTCGTGAATTATTGGGTTACATATACGATACTAATCGTTTTAGATAGCTTTTAAGCTATCAGGGATCCCCTTAACTTATGTCGATCCTGTAATAATATATAAAATGAAGTATTTGCGGTTTTTCCATGAACAATTGCAACTAACTCCCATCTCGCCTTTTATGTGCATTTTATGCAATTTTAATATTGCAGCTTTTTTTTTTTTTTTTTTTTTTTTTTTTTTTTTATAAAACCATATCACTATTAATTTCATTTCACCAAGGAAAGTCGCTCGTGGGCTTGATTTCCGAAGCCCACGCCAAAGCTATACACGAAATTGACTGGCGCAAATAATCTTTGAGATTGAAGAGCGCCATCTAAACGAAGAACCAACCAACCAACCTCTAACTTCCTTATTCCTTGCGCGATTTTGTTCAAATTTTCATTGATTTCATTCAAATCTTTTAAACTTTACAATAAAAGTAACTTAGTATGAAGGTTTTGGTTCCCTTTAATAATATGATTGTCTAAATCACACTTCCTGACAAACATATCACACCGGGTTCTACAATAAATGGTTGTACAAACAAACATGTAACAAACCTATTAATTATAGGCTATTGATAAAGATACAAAAAAAGTACATGATATTTAAACATAAACATTTGGCTAATAATGTAATACAATCATCAGATATACTTAAATATTGATAGATGTAATGTTAATATAACCAACCAAAAGATGGCTTGTATTGTATTTGTTGACATTAATTAATCTAGAAGTGTGTGTATAAAGGGTTAACAACTGAATTATTCAGACATAATCCTTGTAAATTTGATTCCCCCCCCCCCTCTCTCCGTAAGCCAAGAATGATTGAATTAAGGCCTTTGTAGAATACTTTTAGATGTAAGCTTTAGTACATGTATGTCACCATCCACAAGAAATATAAATTTATACAAATCTATTTTTTCAAATACTTCAAAAATATTATTACAAAACTTGGTAAGAGTAAGAATAAGAATAAGGTACCTAGTAGTTCTTAAAGGTATATTTAAATTTCATGTTTTACATGTACATGTTTATTTAATGTTATCATATGCTGTCTGTTTGACCCTTGACCTTTGACCTCACATAGATAAGGTTGTTATAGATGCTGCTGTCAAGCACCTGCGAGGGATCTGCTACGACTCCATGGACTCGCTGACAGGAGACAATTATGAGGTAAATACACTTCTTTCATTAAAAGTAATTAAACATTTTGGGAAATCTTGAAAATTGGGTGGATAGTGATTCTTTACAATTTTGATATATGTGGATGCCCCTGTGGATGTATGATAAGCACTAGAAAATTTAGCCCCTAGAACACTTTTGCTTTCAAGAAAAATTGAATATACAAATTTACCGGGGCTCCAGGTAAATTTTGCTAAATTTCAAAAAGTGCCTACGGCCGTACAATGGTAGCTGCGACCATGAAAATCTCAGAATATATAGTTGTGATATATAATTTCCAAACGGTAATAACTAGTCGGTCAATTTTTGTCAAGAGACATTGTTTTATAGCTTAATTAATATCTTGACCTGGAGAGGGAGCTATACAACGTACAGCGTTTATTATTTACAATTTCATAACTTTAGAATCGATTTCTACCACGACAACGATCACTGATTATTGTAGGATCGCATATGCTTGCAATATGTTAATTTGATCCAAATTCATGATCCAATACCAAAACTTTGTATTACCTTTAATGTGGTACTATGAATGTTTGTCTCTTCCCTAGAATATTCCTCCATGGGGCGAGTTAATAAATGTTAAGGCTCATGAGTGTATTTATATCCTCTTTCTTTTTATTAATATTTCCAAACAGGTTTTTATCTTGAATCAGGTAATTTAATCAGAAAGTCTTGCGAAAGAAGATATATATGTACATGTGTAATGTTTGGCTCACTGATTTTAAACACTCTGATGTCTAACACACAGATTTAAGCAGCATAAACACTATACTGTATGTACTATGTGTATATGATGTCATGAAATGCCTAGAATGCACAAATGGAATATTTTATTATAAGGCACACATACATGTACATGTGTTTATATGTACTCCATGACAACAAATTTTAACTTATTTCTTTTTCGATATTGTGTACTATATATATAAAATAACTGGCAAAATGAATTTCTGTACTCTGTTCTACTTTGCTTATAACTAAAGGTTAAAGTAGCTGACTGTATACCCATCATGCAACAGTACATCGCAGATGGCAAGATGTTTGATTACATCATCAATGACCTAACGGCCATTCCTATTACTACAGAACCAAGAGGTAAATATAATATTTCATTCCATTATTTTACATTTGTACATTAGCTTTTTTTGCATTTAATTCATTTTTTTCTTCAAAGTGGATAGTTGAGCAAAAAAGTCATTTGTAGGGAAAAAAGATATAAATTGCTAACATGTAGTAATTGTGTGATTTGGAATATTTGACATGTACATAAGGCCTAAACAAACAAAAAGATGTTGTATTATAGAGATATCGACTGCTTTGAGAGACCTGGCTAGTTTTATATGCTCAAGGCATCCTGCCATTACCCTGAGGCGCGTCTGGGTGGATGGTGCGCTGAGGGGTCGTGGCAGGATCTGAGCGAGTTCCCGAGAGCATATAAAGCAGCCAGACCTCGAATATTAAAGCAGTCGATTTCCCTTTTATATGCCGAATTCAAACAAAGATCTATGAAGAATTCTTACCTTATATTTTTATTCGAGTAAAGATTGGTTAAAACAACGGAAAATCTGAGACGCTGTCTGTTTATCACCAACGAAAAATGAATGAAATTTTCGATCAGTAGGGAATCCCAGACAAAAATACACTGTTTACATTTAAACAATATACCAATGGGTATCGCAGCAAGATTATAGTTTTTCCTGGTAACTGGAATTTTGCTGGGATTTTACTCTGGGACTATTAATCGGTTTGGGCATTTTTTGTTTCTTTACGGGAATGGCTAAAATCACGACTGCAATTTCGATTAATCAGATGGCTGGATTTCTTAACCCTATATAGCCTGGGCTATTTTGAAACTGCAAAGCCCGGGGGGGGGGGGGGGGGGGGGGGGGGGGGGGGGGGGGGGGGGGGCTCCTAAGCCCCCCCCCCCCCCCTTTGATCTCGGCCGTGTAATGACGGATCGCCGCGAAAATTTGCATACATGTCAAGTGAAGTGTATAGAATACTATGGTAATTTCAATTTTTTGAAAAATTCACTCATTTGCATATTAATGGTAATTTATGCAAATAAGGTCATAAAATTTACATTTTTGCCCATAAATCAGACATTCATATTTAAGCATTCTTTTTCACTACATATTATATTTGTTAGACCATTTGGAATAATAATACAACACAAAAAATTGAAAAACGAAGGTTATTCCTTATGTTATCTATTGTTTTGATAATTCCTTATGAATTTCTTTGTTTTTTTTAACATATGTATTTTATTGTTTTTGTTCTTTTATTTCATTTCCAAATATAATTCAACCATTTTGACCCCAAAATAAACACCTAAACTATAAACAAGACCAAATAACCAATGTTTTATCTCTTTGTTTGAAAGATGAGATTTCCATATGTTTTGTACACAAATCACAAAAATGAGCGATTTTTCGGGCTGACGTGCAAAGACAAAAGGACACGTGACTTTGTAATGGTAGGTCCGATTTTCAAAAAAATTCTTTCAAAAGATGAACAAGACTCGAAAGAAAAAAATCACAAAATTTCAGTGCAACATTTTCTCGAGTTAAAAAATTATCGCGAAAAATGTCGAGGGGGAGGGGGGCTTCTAAAGCTGCCACCCTCAGTTTTTAATGCTTCAATACATTTTTTTTTGATGATGATAATGATATTAATTTTCAGCTTATATAGCACAGTATATTCACCTTAAAAAATACATTAAAAATACTGAAACATGAATTTATTAAATTAGCATGTTTGTTCAACTTCTTATTCACAGGAAGCCAGTGGGACTTCCTTCATCTAATCCTAGATCTTTCAATGCAACTTCTGAAGCCAACAGGGAAATATTTCACTCAGGTAGGATTATTATAAACCTTATGAGCTATAGGATACAAAGTTTCAATGCCAAACTCCATATCAATTTTCATATATTTCATTGATTCTAAATTTGTTGTGTATTCTACTTTTGTTTGTTAGCTTTGAAGTTATGATGTCAGTAAACCATGAAGTTATGATATATGACTGATTTACAAAGGAAACAGGAAATACAATTTGCCATTTGTGTGTACGTATTTATGCATAAATTCCTCTTCCTGACCAGAAAGGTTAGGTGACTGAACAAAGAATGCTTGATTTTCATTTGAAAACAAATTCAAAGATGCAGGAAACATGGCATGATTAATTTTTATGCATACTGAAGTGATCACTAAATTGTGCTAGGAACTAAAAAGGGCACTGACCAGCCTTCTTTAACTCCTCTGTCACTCACTCTCACTACTCTGTCACTCGCTCTTCTGTCACTCACTCTCACTACTCTGTCACTCGCTCTTCTGTCAATCACTCTCACTACTCTGTCATTACTCTCTCACTACCTCTCATTCTACCATCAGGGCAATGGTTTCAACAACAAGTCAGCGCTGGCCATGTATGAGGAGCAGCTGGGCAAACTGAAATACAAAGTGAGCTTCAGCAAGGAAAATATCTGTGTGCCATCCTATCTGGAAATGTATCCTTTTTATATTGAACCCTATTTTGTATGTTATAGTCAAGTTGATATTCCATTTAATGAGAGAATTGAGAATTAAGAATGATCCTATTTGTTTGGATTGAAATCAATACAATTTGAATTTACATGTGTTGTGGTTGTGTTTGTTTGTTTGTTTGTTTGTTTGTTTGTTTGTTTGTTTTTTTTGGGGGGGAGGCCTTGTAATTTAGCAACCAATTCAGCTACCAATAGGATTAGCTTTAATTTGTATCACTATGCTTGTGTTTAACAAAGATGTGGTCCATTTGTCATAAAGTGGGTTGGTTGGTCGTGGGGGATTGTTAACTTTTGCTCATTATCGTTTGGCATACTGTAACTCACATTGTTTTAAAGCCCACCATGCAAGTATTTTGAGCTTAGAATATAAGCATAAATACCCAGTACTCTCAGTGTTTCAATTTCCTTCCACCCAAATATTTCAATCGGAAATGACTTTTCAGTGGATTTCCCTACGGCCTAGCAAAGACTACAAAAGAGGAGAATATGGGATGTGTTATGCTCTTTCCACCACCCCACTCCATTTCCCCAATCAATGCACCGTCGGCCGGCTATTTTGTAGCGGAGGCATGTTTTCAGGTTGTCCGTCCGTCCGTACGTCTGTACTTTAAGAACTCAAGAATTAGATTCCTGCCAAACTTGAGTTGTGTATGTATCTTGCAGAGCCAATGAACTAATTAGATTTGGGGGTCATGAGGTCATAGGTCACAGGGCTCATTATGTATGCAAAAATAGCTTGTGATCACATTATCTCCAGAACTGATTGATGGATTATTTATTTTGTTTTTATGCCTCTGCTACAATGTAGCCGGAGGCATTATGTTTTCTGGTTTTTCCTTGACATTAAGACCTCTCTTCTTCAGGTGGGTATTCTACGAGATCTGGAAGGAAGCCGACACATAAAACATCGATGGGATGATGATATTGCATATCATGCTGACTATCCCTTTCAATGCTTCTTTGCCTCTAAGGTTTTAAGGAATTGCCAAAAATTATACATGTACCTCAAAAATTTTATATGGTCTTTTGATTTCAGTACTGATTTGAATATGGGCAATGGTTCTCACATTGATTTTTTTTTAGATATAAAGAAAACTTTCACCTTTAGGCAGCTATCCCAAGGACATTTAACCCGGACTACGACAGTATTAGTAACCCGGGGGATCTCCAAGGAGATAGTTGCAATTGGCTTTGTAGGTTTCCCATTGCCTTCAGGAGAGAAAATATGTCGTTCGTGATAATGATATGGGGGAATTTTTAAATGGCTGAATTAAGGATATCATATTCATAATCCCCAAATTGGCTTGGCTATAGTTTTTTTTCAAATCTCCTCTTTTTTCCCCCTTTTTCTTTATGCTTCAAAAGCATTCTATTTCTTCATGATCGACGCCGTGGAGCATTGTCCTTGAAATATATTTGTAATAGAATTGGACGTGATTATCACAATGTTAATGCAGCTTTATGTAAAATGAAGTGTATTTACTAAATTGTTCTCGAAGGAAATGCTGCCTGTTTTTAGTAATACTCAAAATAAGTCATGATGCATCTTAATGGAGTATTTCAGAATATGTCGGGATCAAGTACATTGTTTTTTCAAAATGTCCCACGTGAGTACTTCCGTTTTGGCGATATGTCAGGGATTGTGGTTTTAGCTAAGTATATTTAACTCACAAACCATGGGAACCAGGGCCCCGTTTCATAAAACTTGTTCAATAACAGATGCTAGAATTCTATGACAAAGTTGCTCTCAGCCAATCAAATGCCACGATTCCGTAGCTTATAACAAGTTTTATGAAACAGGGCCCAGGTGTCTCCTGTATTAAGCCTATGGGAATAAGGGATTCATTTGTCTGTGGGTTAAACGACTCTATTTAAAGGTACTATGTCCCATTTGCAGGCCAAAAAAAAGGAAAAAGTTAAATTCCAACTGCATTTGAAAGATAATACTAATTTAGAACTTCCCTAAAAAAGGTGGGGCTTGAGAATGTCTTCAAGTGGGAAAATAATGACTATTAGTTGTCAAATCGACTTTAGGGCTATAGAGCCCAAAAGTAATAGTCTTGATTTTCACACAATTGTACCGAATGGTCATACGTTTTATGCTGCGCAAAGATTCAATCAGTTTAATCTTGGCCATCACAAGAAGTGGGTTATTGATGTAGACAAATGATAATGTACCCTTTACAACTCTTTTCATGCATGTTATTACCAAAGAAGAAAAAAAGCCAGTCAGTCACTCAATAGTGCCTGACAGTGAAGTCTAGCAAGTAAACGGGTTTCCTTGCATAATTTGAATATGAGGACACTCATAACGTTTAAATATCGCAGATAGGACATACATGACATATTCATAATTCCTGCAAAGTTTTACAGAATTTGAGGTTGGCTGCAAAAGGGACATAGTGGGTGGTATTCTCTTAAGTTAAGCCGGGACTAAGTCCAGACTAAACAAGAATTTTAGTTCGCACTTCTATGGAATGCTAGGTTTCATCTTGCTCCTTCAATATTCATGACAAAGATAATCTACCAAGGACTTTGTCGAAATTTAGTGTATACTTATATTATCTTTTTCTTCCTATTTCAGTGCAAAATTAATTTTTTGGACACTTTTCATTGAAGGATTAAAATAATCTGTTCAGGGTAAATTAGTTCACAACAGGCACTCCATAAAAGTGTGAACTAACTAAGCACGCGCTAACTTAGTACGCGCTACCGGAATACCACCCAGTACCTTTAAAATGTGTGTTCATCTTCATGTTGGTATTAACTTATCTGGGATTGTGGTATTTGCCAAGTTTTGCTATTTTGTTCAGAAATTTGAACCCTATTATGTGCTATTTTGTATGACATTTTAAAGGTACTTTATATGTACATCTTTGGTTAGGTAATTATAAGTGAATTTGGTTTTGCCAAATGTAGCTAATTTTTGGGACATTTTATGATGATTATGTGAACAATTTGAAAATTTGTACGGTGTGTGAGGTTTTGAAATAAATTATTGAATATATTGTAAATGAATGTTGACTTGTTGACAGTTGTGCTTTCAAGATTAAGAGGGTTACGTGCCTGTAAAGACATGCACCATTTGGACAAAAGTTTACTTATGGCAAAATAATGATAATCTTAATCGTTCTAATCACTATGATTAGACCTTCTTGTTAGATTTTAAATCAATTCTTTTCTACTAACAATGTTGAATGAGATAGTCGATGCTAGACTGAGGAAGGCTCTGACAAGGGCAACCATGCTTAGATGTGTCCAAGGTTTGAAAGACATTCTGAAAATGTTTATACCCATAAGGAGCAAATTATTAAACAAAAAATAAGTGTACTACTTGTTCCAGGTTTTATATTTTTACTTTTTGTTTTAATTCATCACTGATTTAACCATTTATAAGTTAATGTATCTAATCTGGTGTAAGATAGAGCTGTGAATTTAAAAAAATAACAAATTATTACATGAATAATAAGAAATAGATGAATGTGTTCTGATATTTTTTATACAAACAAATATTTAATTGGTGTTTTCATGTTCCATTATACTAATAACATTATTCCACTTTCATTTCATGATATGTTTCCGCTTAATTCTGATTTTCTTTCCATGTCGCACGATTGACATGTAGGCAGTCTTTATTTCTGAATTTAGAGGTTTATGATGCTATGATATGCATGCAATCATTTGCCTTAAATACCACATTTTTAAACTCTAAAAATGGTGGGTGAATTGCTAGCCAGGTGTGACAGCAAAACAGACATTGAATGTATAAAGTTCCTGAAAATCAGAATAAAACAATCATGATTAATATTTCTGTTTATCTTCAATTTTGTACTTCATGTGTCTGGATTCGCTGTAATCTACATGTACGTGTGCAGTGGCGGATCCAAGGTGCTTGTGCTGCTTCGAGTTGAGCTGATGAGTTTGCTGTATCTGTAAAAATCCATTTACAGGCCTACCTGTATAGAAAACCGGCCAAGGAAAAAAAAAACTGGTCTTTTTTAGGCAGGTGATCATTACTGACAGGTTTACTTTAACACATGACTTGTATGAACAAGAAATATCATTTTAAGGGGAGGGAAGATGTAGTCTTTTTAGACATATGGTATTTTTTTTTTTTAGCTAAAGCAGGTTTAAATGTACGAAACACACACACACACACAGACACACGCATATCATATATTTATAAATGTATATGTGAAGGTATAAAATTAAAATCTAAAAACAAATGCAACAACATATATACAAACACTGCGTTCATTGCTTGGCAACACAATTTTATTATATTGTTACATCATAGACAGCGAATTCAAATGTACAAGTCTCAAATAGTGCAACAAACTTTAAACAAACAATACGTATAGTGCACTACGTTAAAACGCACTTTAAAAAAATGATGAAGTTTAGCAAAGAATATAATTATATACAAGATATTAAAAAGCAAATTATATCACATGATAATTTTCAGTTATACTAGTAATGCTGTACATTATAAAATTCTGAACATTAGTTGACCACAAGGAGTATAATTCTCCACGTTTGAGCTGATCCGAGCTCTTGCTATAAAAGCAACAATACTAATTGTTTCTTATTACGCCTAATACAGCATACTGATTTATTGAATTTATTAAGCCATATGCATGTAAAAGCAAAATATACAATAGACAATAGAATACGTAAAAACATACTAGATACAAAGCAAATATATGGTCAGGACCACAAAGAAGCAAAATTATAACCAATTCCAAGAGGTTTACAATTATTTTTCCTTAATTCAATAAATAAAGCGTCGTATTCTAGCATTGTACAAGATAATTAGACCGTATTGTGTAATCATATTGATCACCCAGGGACGTGATAGAGAAGGACTGGAATCAAGCCGCTCTCCTTTGACCCCATGCTCCAAGCCGCCGAAAAGTTATGCGCTAATCTACAACTGTTGACCAGGTGGTGAGATAAAAGAGCGCATGAAATTTCAGGATTTAGAATTCCTACATCAGAAAATAGTATCACTGCAACTGTTCGCTGTCGCTTCCAATGATTGAATATGATTGAATCCATTGTTGAATGTGTAAAGAGTAGAACAAGCGAACACAAACTTGTGTACTTTCATCCTTTTTTAAACTTGAAAATACAAAAAACACGCGAAAACACGCATTAGCAAACTTAATGTTATTGAAGATTGTAAATCATGGATCAAATAACGGGGCATTAAAGCATGCACAAATTAGCGCATCATCCTAAAATATTGAGTTTTTGACAGGATGTAATTTTTCTTTTACCAACTCTGGCACACAAATAAAAGGAAGGACGGAGTTCTAAATTTGAAAATTTGTTTGATGCACTATTCCAAATAAAATCCCCATTTAAAGTTTTTGATTTACACTGAAATTTTGCCGGTAATTTAATATTTTGTAATAAATGTAAAACTGGTGCCTGGCTTTCGAAAGTCCCCGCAGTGGAAGCGCGGTTCGGAGCATGGAACTTCAAAGCCAAGTGGAATGTTACACATCCCATTGTTACGCTTTAGAACTCAAGAATGCGTTTGAATAAATTACAAGAGTTTCGCCTCCTTTTCTTTCACCTCCCTGGATCACCTATGTATTATAGCAACACCACCTCCTATGTTATCTTTTCTATTTGTATTAAGATTATAACCATCCAAATTATACATTTATATTGTTGTACTTGATTGAAACCATGTTTCTGATACACAAATAGCTGTGAATTTATAGTAGCTAGCATATACTACATAAAGCATCAACATTTTGAGTCAAACTCCTGGCATTTTACATGAAAGGTTATTATATTTTGTTACGATCACAATATTGATAATATACATTTCCAAAGCACACTTTCTGACACAAGTGTCACTCCAGGCCCTACAATGAATAGTTGTGCAAACATACATGTTTCAGATAACTAATGGATTATAGACTATTAATATTAGTACCAGTAATACAGATCCAAAGAAAGAACATGATACATTTATAATATTTGGCTTAGTTAGCCTAATAATGTAATGCAATCAGCCATAGGTTAAAAAAGCTTGTATTCGCTGAAATGAATTAATCTCGAATATATTCATGTATATATATATACATTTCATGTTTTACATGAATAGCTTTTAGGTCTTTTGTAATCTGCTGTCTGTTTAACCCTTTACCTTTTACCTCTAACCTTAATAGATCAGGTTTGTATAGATGCTGCCATCAAACAGCTGCGAGCGATCCGCTATGAATCTATGGACTCGTTGACAGGAGACCATTATGGGGTAAATGCACTTCTTTCATATGACTGCGGTGGTTTGAATGTTTGTTTCTTCCCTAGAGTATCTACCCATTTAACACCTGTGTGAAGAGTGGCAAGTGTGACAAGTGTTTCTTGCCAAAGAATATAAGTACTAAGCCAAAACTCGAACCCTGAACCCTCCGATTAAGAGTCAAGGGAACGACCTACTTTACCACAACACCTCCATATCTCATGCAATGTTTTAACACTTACAATTCAATAACATAATCATTTCTCCTAAATTGAAAACCACATTCAAGTGCTAATCCTTCATCACTTCCAGTCAATAATCTTAAATAATTAGCAAATGATTAAAACAGTACTACAGAATCAGAGGTATACAAGTAATTATTTTTACAGTGTACATTTACGTACATGTAAAACTAGCATGAAGGAGGTACTCTGATAAGTCCATATTGTATGCTACCAAAAAAGAAAAGAAAATGTATACTCAAAGTTTACATGTAGATCGAGCGTGCAAGTAAACTCAAATACATGTATGTAGGTTTATCCATATTGTGTTTTTGACACAAATACATTAAATCTTATATAACTAGTATTTAGTACGCTCTCCACAGCGTTTACAAAAAATAATCATACATAACATACAACTAAATTT